TGGTATATACTACTGTTCAAAAGCTTCCGGACACGTGGTGGTGGATACTTAAAATTGAAAAAATGGCGTCATGTAAGTTGACTGCACTTCCCACGCATCGCTGTTATCAGCTCATAAAGGATATGTTAGGCACAAGTTAGACCCTCTAAGACATAAGTTAGCTACAAACATATAAAATAGAGAGATTAAATGGATCAAGTTAGTCAAACAGGTCCATACAATTAGTATATAGACATATTTTCCCGGTGGTTCCGTTAGAGTGGCTTTGATGCCCGAATATTAAAACTGATCAATTTGATTAACCATTAATTTTCCTGTGCCTCTTACCAGTAATAATTATTACTAGAGGGACTCCATTGACGTCCTTTATATAATCTTAATGTGGCACGTCCCTTTTTAGATTTTTCTTCAACTGCCTGTTTGAAACAGTATTCTAAATAATTGCATCTGATGATTTCATGGTGTGTATAGAGATGACTAAAAAACTATGCTTTTAATTTTTGCACACTTAATTGTAATTTTTTTCTTCAATCGGAACTTGCGAACAAAATAAGTACAGCTCTGAAATTGTGTGTAAATATTCCTATTTTATGGAAGAATGCAACAAGTGATTACTTTTGTTCTTATCACTTTTCCTTTTCGAAAAAATCTTAAAGATTTTTCGAAGAGATAAATTGATAAGAATTAAGGTAATCACTTGTTTCATTCATCCATAATAGTGGAATATTCACACGCAATTTCAGAGCTGTACTAATATTTGTTAAGAAGTTAAGATCGAAGAAAAAATCCTCAATAAAGTACACAAAAAATGCATTTTACTACAAAACAAAATTAAAAACGATATTTTCCAGTTATCTCTATGCACATCATGAAGTAATCACATGAAAAGGATTTAGAATATTGTTGCAAACAGTTAGTTGGAAAAAAGTGAAAAAAGAGACGTGCGGCCTTAACGAATAATTAATAATATCATGAGGAACTCGCGCACATGTTCTGCTTTAAACACAAAACACTACACAAGTTCATACGGCTTAGTCCTCTTCAATGATCGGACGGCATTTTAGTTGTCCATCAGCTAAAGAGCTTCTGCATTGGGATGTTGGTACAGCCTTTCTTCGTACCTGGCCTCTACTTTCTTGATCTCGTCGTTATCCAGAGGGATATTCAAATCGCGATGAATGTCCCTATTAAGAACATAGCAACAGGGCATGTACCATGTTCCTCAGAACTTGATTTTGGAATCTTTGGATAATGTCGATATTGGAACTCTTGGACCAGCTCCATAGCTGACAACCACAAAGCCACACTGGCTTAGGATCTGATTTTAGACCATGATGTTGTTAAGGGGCGTTGGCATTGAGGATTTTCCCGAATAATCAGTAGTATTGCCTGTAACAAAATTCAGTCCTTCCCTCTTTTCTTGACGTGGTGCTTTCACTTGCTTGGTGTCAAGGGTCTACCTTAATATTGGCATTTGTCTCCAATGGTATGACTGAGATGTTAACGCCTATTCGAGGACTTGTCAATCTTCAATTTTTAAAGCAAATGTGAATTGATTTCAATTCGTTCAATGATTTTCCATCTATGGGTCCATGTCACTAAATTGTTGATAGCAGTCTGTACTTTACTAATAGTACTTAATAGATATTTGTCAGTTGCGATCAATGCTATATCATCTGCATATATTGCAACTGTTTCATCGATCATAGCAGGAATATCTGACATATGTATACAGAAGATAGAGTACAGGACCTAGAACACTCCCTTGAGGTACCCCAACATAGATATCCAGAAGATCATAATACTCATCTAATTATCTCGAAGTATTGTCTTGGAAGTAGAACGCTTATTTAAGTTCTTCATGCCAATCTTTTGCCCTATGTCTGGGAATTTTATTGAAATCTGAGCCGTACATTTCAAGTTATAGACAGGTCAAGGATTAGCGGACATACCGACATACAAACAAACAGACCGTCAGTCCAACGTAAATGAGTGGCATCATTTTTTTGTAGTGGTAGTGGCTTGTAGTGGTTTTCGTGGGAATACTTATTAGGACAGGATATGAGGAACACTCATTATAACTGAGTGAAATTTCCTCAAATACCAACAGCAGTATCAGTCTTTAAAAAAAACGCCAACAGAACTCGGAAGTAACGTAAAAGCTTAAAAAGTCTCTTCTCAAAGAGCTCGTCCAGAACCAGAACAACACGGTCATTGTAAAAGTGATGACCGTTATTATTTGAGATGTATTTCACCCTAAGGTGTAATATAATCCATGTTTGCCTGATATTTTTTGCAGTATTACCCAGCTGCTATGACTTTTTTCAATGCTAAGTACCAATCAATATGTGCCCGGAAACTTTTGAACGGAAGTGAATACTTTTTCGGACTTCGGTATCTGTAAAGGAGGCGTCGGTCAGGGATAACAACAGCTAGATGCAAGAAACCTTGGTTTAAATGAATCTTGTCAAGATTCAGTTATAAGACAGACGAAAAACTCTTGCCAAAGCAGAAAACAGAGCTGATGAACACGTTACGAGTAAAAGAGAAGCAAACAGACATTCAAATTCAGGAAAAGAAGTTACCTTAAGAAGAAAATCGAAGATATAGCCGAACAATATGTACAATGGAAAATAAGGAGTTTCTATGAAGAACTGAGAAAAAAGCGGAGCGGACATAAAAGAACTCGTGTGTAGACAATGGGAGAAACGATATAACAGAGAGATAAAATTTACTGGAAAGATGGAAAGAATATATCCAGGAACTGTTGAATGTCGGCGATCCGGATGAAGAAACTAACGAACTACAAAATAGGGATTTACACCCACCATTTGAGGAAGAAGTCAGAAATGCTAAAATAAGTAAAAAAGAAGAAAAGATCCAGTGCCAGACGGCTTGTCAGCGGAGCTAATAAAGGATGCGGGAACTTCCATGGTTAATTAATTCATAAGCTATTTGTAGAAAATTTCCCGATTGCAAATGAAATAAATAATTATAACCCATTTTAGGCGATAAGTTTTTCAAATACCAAGTATCCACTTCTAAGGATGTACCAAATGTTATTCACAGTGCAAATTAAGAATCATGACCCACCGTAGGTCCTGCTATTCCAGTTTCTTTCATGTTCGGTGAGCGTGAAGTGATTTCTAATTTACATGTTCCGCTATAAAACAGAATCGATCCTCTACTAATTAACTCATACTTTATACACCATTTCGAATATATTTTCCGTTCTGTGATATATTTTTAAATTCTCTCGGTTTAGTATCTACATATACCTTTCTGAGATATCAGCTACTGCAATTACGTTCCACCATGAGTAAATACTTGAGAATAGTGTATATAAAAAGTAATAGTTTAGATTTTCTAATAAGGATGGGTAGATGTTGGTATGGAGGATTTTTTTTCATTTGAATTGTTATAATGAATGCCATTATGTAGAGCGTTCATGTGTTCGCCATGACTAAGCACGGATCTACGAGCCCCTTCCCACTTCAGTTGGCCCACTTCAAGATTTGTACCAAAATATGCCTTTATAAAGTAACATGACGAAACTATTTACTTCTAAAACAATTTATTTTCTCAAAAACATTTTAGATACCCTCTAGTTGTAAAAAATACATATTTGAAATCACTCACCTATAACTAATAGGATATATGAACAAATAAACAATGTGCGAATAAATTCGCGAAATTAACAAAGCAACAATTGAAAGACTACCATTGGGTAACATCACCTTTATTTTTTATTACGGCTGAAATTCTTTGGGGCATAGTGTTAACCAAGTTTTGGCAAAAATTTGGTGTAAAACAATCCCATATTTCTTGAAGCTTTTGTCTCAGTTCGGTGATTGTACGAGCAGGATGTTGTCGTAGAACCTTTTTCATCTCATGCCACAAAGTTTCAATAGGTGACAGATCTGGACTGCTAGAAACCCATTTCAAAAGTCGATCATTATTTTCTTCCATCCATTTTATAGCCTTTTTTGAGGTATGGCACGTTACACCATCTTGATGAAACACAAAATCTTGGCCAGATGTCAAACATTCTTCCATCACTGGTAAAAGCGATTTTTCTAAAATTGCCAAATATTTGTTTGTATCCACATTTCCATCAATAAAATGAAGTTTTCCTACTCCTTTTGATGACATACTGCCACAGACCATAATGGATGCTGGAAATTTCACTTTTCTCTTCAGACAGTGAACACAGAATGCTTCATTTTTTTTGTGAATAACTCTACTGCGACTGTCACCAACACAAACTTCGAATCGGGCCTCATCACTCCATTGTATTGCACACCATTGTCTATGTTCTTTAGCCCATCTAAGCCGATTTTTCTTTTGCAGTGGAGTTAATAGTGGCTTTTCTTTGGCCTATAAACAAGTTGTGCAACTTTAGGATTTTTACTTCACTTTTTTTTATAAGAAACTTACCTTGCAAGTGCTAAATCGCAGTTTGTGGGCCTCTCTATGAGTTGTGGACCTCGAAATTCTCCTTCCAACAGCGTCACTCCACAGAGCACTTAATTGTAAATAATTGGCACGCCTGTTTTTCACGATTATTCCTCTTAATGCTCTTCGGTCGGCATTTGTGATATTACTTTTTTTCACATATCGTGGCTTAATATTAACTGAACCAGTTACGTTATATCTTCTAACAATATTTCTCACACTGTACCGCGATAAGTCTAACAAAGTTGCAATTTCTGAGTTTGATTTCCCAGAATTAAAAAATTTAATTATCAGTAACCAAATTTTCTCACTAATAACCTTTCCTCTACCCATTTTGAAAACCTTAACTACTCAAAACTATTTTAAACGTATTCTGACAGCTGTGATTAATAAAAACAATTGTCATGGCTTTTATTTTTCACAGCCACCTATGCGTTATATTGCATTGAAATGAAAATAGGTTGATATGCTGTAATTGCAACATGTGTTACTATTATGCTGCAAATTTGATTAGAGAGTGATATATTTGGTGTTTTCTACTATATATTATGAAAATATTCATTGTTAATATTTTAAACCAATAAAACTCTGCTACATTTTTATTATTTGTGTTTGATAAGAAAAAAACTAAGATTTCAATAGTTGGGCCAACTGGGGCTCTTAGATGGTGCAACTTTCAATGGCTGCTGAATGGATTCGGCTGAATTTGAGTAAGTTTGGGAGCTCATGGTTTAATGTAGTAGATTGTGGCTTATATACATATTACCTATGACTTCAGAAAGCCCCGCAATGAAAATGAGGTGAAATTGCACGATTCGCGTTCATTCAGAATATCCGTTATGTCGCAATCACTGAATTGTTGGAACCACATATCCATGTCATTCAGTTTGAGACAAAAAAAAATCTATTTTTAATCTACATTGCTGCTCATTAACGGGCTATTATCGAAAAAGTACGGACCATTAGAGAGTTTTCAATACAACAAAGATAACAAATCATTAAACTTTCCGTTACGTTAAATAGCAGATAACTAATGTCGACGAAAAAATATAGTCATTTGCTTCTTATAACGGATTTATCCCAGGATCACTTTTGTTTTTTCCTTACTTTACTTAAGATTGGATTTCAAAATAAATTGCATGTTGTCATATTCTACTCTACAAGATGGCCTAGTCAAATTTTCAATTCGACATTTCTCCTTTCGCCTTCCATAACCAACTTTGTTTTTTCATATGGACGCTATATTGTAATTTTGTACATTTAAATGGACCTTTCAGTCCTAAATTCAATGATGTATTTCCTTAGTTGGCCATGAATTTATTGTTTGATGAAAATTATAAGGAAATAAAGAGGTATGGTGAAAGCTGAACACAAAATCAAAATTTTATTGATTGCAATAACAATAAGTAGAAGTAAATTATAATATCAAAATGTTGTCCGGTATTTTGTAGACAAAGCCTGACTTTTCTCTGTGCATTGTTCACTGCTCGATTTATTTCTCTTGTTCTCAGTTTTCCAAGCTCTGTTGCTATGTTCAATCTGAGGTCTCGGCTGGTAGACGAAGCAAATGAATTTTGATAATTTCAAGAACAACTCCTAAGAGCTTCTGATTTTCTGACATACCTATTATACGTTTTTGAAAAAATTCAATGTTGCGTCCATAAGATAAAATAAAGTTGATACTGGAGAACAAGAGGCGAAACGTCATATTGAAATTCTAATTATGTCATCTTGTAGAGAAACATACGTGGCAATTTTAAGATGCAATCTGTTTTTGAATCTCACCTCAAAGAAATTCAGGAAAAAATTAAAGTGATTTTGGAATAAATCTAGTAGGTGAAATACATGACTATTTGATAATTTCAAGGCCTACCTGTGAAACTCTGCTTTTTGGAAATAAGTCAGTCTTGGCAATGTCAATGCATGACATATACATTTTTGGAATCATAATTAAAAACTCTATTCATCTGTGCAAAAATCAAATATGGCGTCCATAAGAAAAAATAAAGTTGATGCTGGAGGACGAAATGTCACTTTTTAACATACGTAATACCCGTACAGTACTTTCTAAGCGGCATTTTGTTGATTACCAAAATTCGCTCTCATTTGAGCGACTGTATAACAAAAAATTAGGAAAATTCAATTTATTTAGAACACTGTCTATTTCTTCATCTATTTTTATCTGTGATCTAAACTCATATAACTATTACATTCATAAGGAAGATACCTTACGAAATAAGCTCTCCCCTATTCTCCGTAACTAATGATGCTTTCTTATTTTGACAACGGATAGGGGAGAATTGTCTCGCTAGTGCCCAAAATCGAAATACGGAACATCATAACGAAGCTGCAAAACAAGGGCACTAAGAACTCTCTATTATTGGCCAGCTCAAAATCCTCCTCAAATAATTATTATGATGCATTGTCGCCTAGCTACGGCACGAGTTCTACGTATCTTAAAAAGTGACATTTTGTCGGTTTTTTCTACATTTCGTAGTTTTTTTTTAAATTTCGTAGGTTTTTCTACAAGATGTTACCTTAGCACAAGCTGTTGTACACTTGTGAAGTTGTTTTGTAGCTGCACATGTTGCTTGAACGTCAGCAAGCAAACGTATTTTCACACTAAAAACTACCTAGTCTGCAAGATACGTTATCTAGGTTTTTTACATAACAGCTGTGCCGATATCCTCAGTCAACCTAACCCCAACCAATGCTCAAACTCAGCCTAATGTTAATGCTTACGCATACGGATATAGTAGTATGTACATTCACAGGCTTATTCATTTCCAGCAATTTTGGCGTCCCCTCATAGCTGGGACATATGAGGCTTCTCTTCCCTCACACCTGTTACGACTCTGATTGACAATATTGCAAAAAGCATCAGGCTATTTCCGTTCTGGCCAATTGTCCTCATGTTATTTTCCATAACAAGGAATTTGATTCACGTCATGTTTAGCAAGTGAGACTGCAATCTTTTTGTGCGTATGTGCAGAGAAAATAGGTTAATGCGGATGTATCGAGCTGAAACTCCATGTTTGAATGAAGATAATTCAGCTTCGCTTATGTGAATGCTTTAACTTAAAGCATACAAGAGACTGCACCTTTCATTCCATGTGTTCTATTATTTTTGAACAGTTCAGGCATTGAATGAAAAACTATCTTTTCACACAATTACAATTTCTGCTCTGCTTCGGCGGGATATTGACATTGTTTGTCAATGGTCAGACTGTTGGCTTCTACACTTGAGCCTATTAAAGTGTTGTCTCTTACAATTTGGTAACCGGTTTCTAGTCACACTGATCTTGGCGTTGTAGTCAACGATCGTTTATCTTGGTCAGAGAATATACACTACGTTACAACCGGAGCCAATAATCTTCTATATATATATATATATATATATGTATATCATTTACAAAGCGCGATTCTCAAAGTTATTGACCCGGTATGGAAAACTGTGCTTGTGCGCGACAGAAATCTCTTTCAAGCAGTACAGCGTCGTTCAATACGAATCCCATGAGGCGATCCCATAGTTACCTTTAGAATACTTCATGGATTGGAAGCAACCTGAGGCACCTATACCAGCTGTCGCGCAGCAATCTCCTCATTTACAGCTTTAAATTTCAAAAGGTGCCGTTTAGAACGACAGCGGTTTCTCCCCAATCGTGAATTCAACACTCTGAACAATTTACCAGAAGATGTGGTTAACGCCAAGTCAATCAATAACTTCAAAGCGTATTATGATAGGTGGAACAGTAAACAAACTTTATAGTTTATAGTTCTGAACGTTTTGCTTTTATTTTATGTATTATACGTTACTTATGCGAAGACTACAATTTTTTTATTTACATGAGCTTATAGTATAGTACTCTAGTTTGTCATAATGAAGACTTTTTTACAGACACTCCAACAGTAGTCCAAACCAACATCTTGATAAGAAGTATGGGTCCTGTGTCAGAACTGGATATGGTAATATCACCAAAGTAGGTTTGGCATACCTTTTAGATCATTGTTTTTTTTTTCAGGAGTATTCTATGGACTGCTATTTCCGCCAATACTGGAGGGATCAAAGATTGTCTTTTATGGGGCCAATAAAATCACTGTCACTGTCCATAAAGATGTTAGAGAGAATATGGAGACCTGACACTTATTTTTACAATGGGAAAAATTCCTACGTACATACCATTACTGTCCCCAACAAGCTTCTCAGGATAAGTCAAGATGGAGACATACTCTATTCAATGAGGTAAAGCTTGACAGATACGATTAGTAAGTTGATTTTAAAAGGACGTAAAGATCCCTAAAATTCCAAATGGAATATATCATGATCAACACTTTGATGAAGGTGGTTATCTGAGATAGTAGTCCTGTATCTTTTCTCTACTTTGATCACCATCCAAACTCCATTGTAATATTTTTTTAATGTGTGTTCCTTTATTAGGTTAACAATAAAAGCAAAGTGTCCGATGGAGTTGCGAAGCTTTCCTATGGACAGGCAGTCGTGTCCCTTGATATTTGGAAGCTGTAAGTATTAAATAAGTCATCAAATATATGGCCTATACTAAAAGCAACACTTTAGATGTTTCTAAGAATGTCGCTCTTTCTTAGATTAAACCATTTATTATACGATTAGTTAGTAAAGTAATTGAAGAGATTTTGATGGTACGAGTTTTGAACTAGTTAAGGGAAATAATAAGGTTGCAGTAGGTTGTTTTACATTCCCCATATTGAAGAAAAGAAAGAGGACGCCTGATGAGTCCGTCTAGTAGACCTAAAGGATGTCACAAAAGTCGCGCAAGATTTAGATCAAAAGGAAACAGTTCTTTTGCAGATTGTAATCATTATATTGAATCGTAAAGTACACAAGATAGGGTAATGTATCGAACAGCATATCAGATAATGCCCTCCTCGGCTTTTCCGATACATATACACACTTTTTGTTGAAATGTGTTGCGTTGGAGCAGCGCCGAATTTCCACTGTCAATACATATAAGTGTCTATTGGCTTACTCGCATAGACCTTTAACTCTAATCTCATAGAAAGAAATCCAATGGTATCAAATGACATTGTCATGGGCCAATTCTGATCACCGGAATGAAAGGGAGCTTTAACTAGTAAGTGTAACATGCAGTAATTGAGCTTTATGGCATATGGAACGTCTTGTTGAAACCGCATGTCACCCACGTCAATATTATCCAATTAAGCAGGAAGCAACGTAAGAGATATTCGTCTATTGCAAAAATGGCATCAAGTACGTTGACTTCAATTACAATTTTCCTTGGCATAAAAAAGGCGTAAGCTTTATCATAGACATTGGTGCAATATTTGATCTTTTCAAGTTTCCTCAGATTGCAGCAATGAGGATGTCCGTACACGGTAGCCTCATTTATTTGGAGCTTTGGTATAAAACTGTTAGGCAACAATGTTTGATAACTGATACGTACTTACATAATATATGAGTACTATATAATATTACCTCCCGAAATCAAGTAACCTCATTAAATTACACTTCAAGTATAATGTTCGTATATACAGGGTGTTCCATAATTATTGCGACAAAATGATAGGGGTTGTAGAGGGCATAAAAATATGCAATTTTGCCTTATAAACCCCTGTTCGTAAATATGCCGTTTGAGCACTACCGCTAATTTTACCTTAAGAGAAACAAAAAATTCAACAGCTGCAAAATGTTCGTCTAGCACATTTCATGGTCTCGCCGATTTGTAAAAAAAGCCTGCTGTGTTTACATTTTTGTTATCGTAAATTCTCCACACCGATTCATTTAATTTATCTGAGTGGTGCGTCAAACTAGAGGCCAATCCGCGTACAAGCGTGCGTGCTATTGCACATGAAATGGGAGCGTCTCAAACTACTGCTTGGCGGGTTCTCCATGACCAGCAACTACACCCATACCACCTTTTAAAAGTCCAAGCCATGGGTCCAGAAAACTATCTGCCGCGTCGACGTTTTTGTCGTTGGTGGCTGCAGCAGGAGTTGAGGCAACCAAACTTTGGTCGCTACGTTTTGTTCACTAACGAGTCCTGTTTCACAAAGGAAGGTTATTTTAATAGCCGTAACAGTCACATTTGGGATGAAGAAAACCCTCATGCCATAGCCATCCATAGAGACCAACATAGTTTTCAATTAACATCTGGTGCGGCATTGTGGACGAGCATATCATCGGGCCATATTTGCTTCCACCACGTTTGGATGGGCATGCTTATGGTCGATTCTTACAGCATGTGCTACCGGAACTATTAGAAAATGTGCCACTGAACATAAGAGCCAACACGTGGTTTCAACACTATGGCGCTCCAGCCCACTTTTCTTTACAAGTGCTGCAGTATTTGGACGACAAATAGGTGGATCGGCCGAGGTGGCCCTGTGCCTTGGCCTGCGCGGTGTCACCCGACCTGACCCCACTGGATTATTTTCTCTGGGGCCATCTGAAAGCTTTAGTGTACGAAACTACTGTTCCCAACCAACAAGAGCTACTGGGAAGAGTGATGGCCGCGTCCGCACATGTTCAGGACAAACCGGGGGTATGCCACAGAGTTCGCCGATCATTGAACAATCGTGCACAGCTGTGTATTGAGCAAGGTGGAGGACACTTTGAGCAATTACTGTAGGTAAGCTGTTTCAAGAAACTGATCTTTTTTTTTGCTGCATCCCAAACGGCATATTTCCGAACAGGGGTTTATAAGGCAAAATTGTTCATTTTGATGCCCTCTACAACCCCTATCATTTTGTCGCAATAATTATGGAACACCCTGTATAGATAATACCTCGCCCAGCTCCTATGTACACAGCGCGTTGCCGGACGCCGGTCGGCTACCTGCTTCTATGTCCCTCGGATACAGTGCCAAAGATGCAACATTTGAAATTTCCTGGCGCGCGGCAAGTGCGGCTGATAGGTACGTGATTGGTGGGCTGAAGATAGAAGTTTTAAGGGCAAATGTTAGGAGAAATCTACCACGTGTGCGATATGTCTAATAGGTGCATAGAATTACTGGGGTTGGAAGTGTGTATTAATATACTAACATCAAAAATTTGCGACACATCCCCACCTACCACCACCTTACAACTCCCTACCGCAATTTTTTATCATTAAAAAACTGTTCAAAAATGATCATGATCATCTGAAACGTCAAAAAACTAAGTCTGAGCGATTTCAATTTTTATCGTTTTTGGTATTTCTCTCCACCGCCACTGCACCGATTTTCAAAAACTACAAAATAAAGAAAATTTCTAAAGTTTCTATACTTCAAATCTGAAGGAGTTTACCCTGAGCAAGGCATTAGCAATATGGAACTATGTGAGCGTTTTGAAATTCATAGTTTAGAATACAGAAGGAAAGTTTCATCTGCCATATTCCTTTTTAAACTGCTAAATAGCATTATTGACTCCCCCAGTCATTTTGACACAGATTAATTTTAATGTTCCTTCGTTCTCTTCACGCAACTATGTAACTTTTAAGCTATCAAGGGCTAGGACCAATGTGTTAGTCAAATCTCCTACATATGTTATGTGTAAACATCTAAATTGTATTAGCTGTCATTGTGATATATTTACTTGTTCGCTTAACTCAGTAGTTAGAATGGCTTATTTGTATTTGAAATAACTTTTTTTAACACCACTGAATATTATTTAATTGTGCTTATGTAATTGCCCTATAAATGGGGTAACTGTTGGACAATAAACGCTATTATTATTATTATTATTATTATTATTATTATTATTATTATTAAAACGTTTTCTTCCTTGGCACAGTAGTAACCTTGTGTAAAAATTTCATCCAAATACTATCAGACACACCGACGCAAATGAGTGGCATGGTTTTTCGTGATGTTTGTCATATAACATCGAAAAACATATCTCATTTTAGAAAATTTTCGCGGTTACAATACCTACTCCCGCACCAATAGGCGCAGGATGTAAAAGAAATCCAACGCTGCTTCAAGGGCATCCCGACAGGTAATTCCAGGAGGGGGCCAAAAAGGTATCAAGTCTCTTTAGAGAAAAAAATATGATATTTAAAAAATGTAATGTAAACAACCGAAAGTAATCAACTTTCATTAAACTATAAAAAATAAACGTTGGTCATCAATTGTAAAAATATAAACTTATAAGCAGAAATGAACTAAAATCAATGTGAAAATAATAATTTAGTTTTCTACGAACAAAAAAGCTTTTGGATATAAGCATATGTTCAACAATAAAAAGGTCCGAAAAACATAATAAATGTACATTGGGCGTATTGATGTATTAAATCTGCTATAAATAGACTAAATTTAGTTTTATCGTGATTGGATATGTCAATAGATTTATTACCAGGGGTTAGTCAATTGAACGCATCGCGAAATTTTTCTAACAACGTGTATAACAAAATAGGAAATAAAGTTTTGGATTTACTCTGCTAAATACCCATACAAACAGTTTTTGCAACACAAACGTATTTATTCAACAATTTTTATATCGTTTTTCTACCAAAAGGTCTTTCCACTTGTAAATTCCCGCACAGGCGCTCGATCAACAAGTTTCAGTGTTTAAAGTGGTTATCGAAAATTTTAACAAACGAATGCGTATGTATCAGCAAAGCTGAGGAAGCAATTTACGTGATGTGCCATTCCATACAGAACTACATCCTGTATGACTCAATAAAGAGATAAGAATCTGAAGACAATAACTTGATGATTCAGGAGACTCATTAGAACGCGCCTGTCAAGGAAGTGTCGCCAAACATGGAGGTATCACCTCCCCAGAAATGTGAGCAATAGTAGTTGACGGGACGGAACGAATGTTTTCTGGCAAAGCTTACCCACCCATTGAAATTGAATGTGCAGGGCAATGATAGCTTTCGCGTGTGTCGTCTCTGAGGAAGTCGTTACGAGCCTTTTCTGCAATTTTGCCCATTTCATAATCATGATCGGAAAAGAGGATCACCGAATGCCTGCCAAGCTTCTTTTCTGGGAGGACATAGTACAGAAATGTGCGCAGTAGACTAGAATGTCCAGGTCACAGGTGATTGAATTTTTTTGTAATATCAAGAGCAACGGCTGAACCTCTATAAACAATATATATGTTCTGGTATCCATGCTATCCTCACTCTATTCTCATTGCCTTTATTATCAAAAGAGCCTCTATGCTTCAGATGCCTTGCAAACGGATTCAATCGCTTTCATAATAGCCTGAACTATGCTCTGTAGAAATCTGTACATCACCCTATACATATAACACTTGCGAACCAACATCCAACACATATCAGAAACGCCCGAGTTTGAGCGTTGTATATGTCGCGGATTCCATCTTTGAGGCGTGGGAATAGTTAACGCTTACCGCAAACAACGCACGTTCCAGATGCCTACACTTCAAAGGACTTGGTCTACCAATGGCAGAACAAGGCGAGCGTCAATTTTGTGCCAGGGATGACTCTATCTCAGTTCGATCTCATCAGTTCGCCGTACAGGAATTTCACTTTGACCAGGAGAGAAGGTACGGATCATTTAGTTTTCAATCGTTTAATAAATCAAAGTAGATTGACTGTAACCTTTGTCGTATTCTGGTTTTATCATATAGGATGTTTAGAAGTAGCGTGAAACTAGACAGACGGTTAAAAATCCAGGACTGGACTCGATATTTTTCACTCCTTCTACTTTTTTTTATCAAAATCAACATATTTTCAGCTGAATGCTGAAATGTTTAACTATGTATACAATGCAGTGCAAAATAGATTGATTACGTTTATTATCGGTTTTTGTTAAAAATCATTTATTTTTAGCAGTCTATGTGACACAAAACTCAAAAATTCATGGGTTATGAACGAAATAGAACTAAAATCGTTTTGGTTACGCAAAATTTTAGGGTTGTTTAAGTTTTGTATCTCCTTGTATTCTATCAAGTGAACGCACTGCAAGTTATACTCTGAATTTATTATTATTTCCCATGAAAAAGAGCAATACACGATATCAATAAAAGGGAGAATTAATTTTATGTGCCATATTTGTTTTTTTTTCTGTATTTTTTAATATTTAATTCTACCATCTGATGTCACACAACATGAGTCGTGCTTTCAAGGGAAGCGGGATTTGGTATGAAAATGAACTAAATTTGGCTCTCCAAACCAAATCAAGATTATTATGAAGATGTATAAAAAACTAATAGACAGGTACAGACTCAGTATTTTCAGCATAGTTACGTTTACGTGCACTCACGACCAACCCGACGTTCTTCAAACTTCTGAAATGCAATTTCAGTTCATGACAATTCGAGCGAAGATAATTTTTTTTGAAGAAGGATGAATTATATGTGTGGTAACACGATTTAGGCATAAACCTGCATTATAATAAGCTGATATCTAGAAGCAATATCCATTATAGGGACATTCGATTCACTGAACCACTCACAACGCCCCTCCACAGGACATCATTCTTCTGTAAATGCTTCACCTACAACGCAATTATTATTTACAATGCTCTACCTCGATCCACAAAATTGCTATCATATGATGAATTTAAGAGACATATATGAAGAAATTTATTTTGAATAGAAGTATATAAATTAGTTGATAAAATTTATCTGTCACCTCACACAAAAATATTTCCAATATAGCATTCCTTTGCTTTGTATGACTGTTACAATTTTATACTAAATCATGAAATATTGAATAGCCTTCACTTATACAGGGTGACTTTGAAGTTGAGTCATTAATTTTCAGATAATGATTGTATAGAAGGAAGATAAACCAAAATATGTGTGTAAAAATAAAAAAAAATAAAAAATTTTTTTTACCTTGTTTTATAAAGTATCCTCCCAACAAGTATTTCAGTGCGGACCTGTATTTGATCGTGAGGTGCCCTGTGAGGTCTTAAGTCACCTGATTCACGAGCCCGTTGTACTACATTAACAAAGGCACGAGGGGTTGGTTGCACTCGATTGGGAAACCGATCCGCATAAACATGTGCCATTTTTTATTTCGTTTGAGCCACGCAACAGACACTATTCACACGCGACTGACACTGAATGTATGTATAACTGAACTGAATGAAATAAAAACGTCGTTCCAAATTCTTTCGCTTTTTTGTTTCCCATGCGATGAACCGATAAGGTGGATTATATCCGTTGTTGCCAAACACGAGTACATGATATTATTATTGAGACAGGGCGGTACTCAAACTTCCAAAGGGCTATAACTTTGTTACTTTAATTTTACCAGAAAAATGGTAAAGGAAAAAAACATTTCTTTTGATCAGATCTACTCACTGTTAAAATAAATGACTCAACTTCGAAGTCACCCTGTATATGTTATATACCATATTTTTTATACACCTACATTTTTAAACTTCTAACTTATCAAAGGTAATTATGTTTTTTGTGTTGTTTTTTCAGTTTTTCTTTTTTTTGGTTAAGTGGAAGAGTACCATTATGCTAAACTCCGCCCCCTAAACAAAGACGATTTATTATTATTATTATTATTATTATTATTATTATTATTATTATTATTATTTGATCATTTAAATTTATGTTTTACATATTCGTAGGCAACTTTTACCTCGACAGGGTAACATAATCCCTTATCAACTGATCAGCTTGGCATGGGAAATACAGAGTCAATCTACTTGACGCCATTTTTTCAGGTGAGTTCTCTGTTCTCCAAGTCTCCTTCAACCTTCAACGACACACTGGTTATTTTCTCATCCAAGTATACGTTCCGTGCATCCTCATCGTTGTTCTTTCGTGGGTTTCATTCTGGATCCACAGAGAGGCAACCAGTGACAGAGTTGGACTGGGAATAACCACTGTACTTACACTTTCTACGATCAGTTTAGATTCTAGAACAGATTTACCCAAGGTTCGATATGCAACTGCGTTGGATTGGTTTTTGTTGATGAGTTTCTTCTATTGCATCGCTACGCTGTTGGAATTCGCAGGTGAGTTACTTAAGGTATAAATCCAATAAGTTGCAGGTATAAGATGTTGCACATTGGAACATACCTACGCTCTTATGTTGCATACTACGAGGGTGAGTCCCTTTGCGCTGCCTCTGACAACCCTGCTGATGCTTATTTGATGAATGTTGCTGGATCAACCCTCTTGGCCTAAATGCCAGGGCACCGCGGCTGATATGACGAACTTAAAGAAACTTTGATAATCCGATTTTTGAACTGCCTAAGTTTAGTAGAACTGGGAAAAGCCTCCTTAGGTATAGATTTTTGCACAATCGCAATATCCTAGGGATAAAGTACCGGCGGTATCGGCCAGTTCTACATGTACGAAGTTCGACACGGTAAGGATGGGAGGCCTAAATCAGGCGGGTCTGTCTGACAGGAACATCACGCGGCGGCATCATGGAGGTGAGCTCTGAGGAGCAATGCCTGTTGACATAGCTAGAAGAGAGCTAGGGCGCCGATGGCCCGTCGGTGCGAAAAGGTCCCGAGACTGTCCATTGCAGAAAACTCATCGATTGAATAATGTAGTCGAGGCTGCAGCACCTCAAATATGTGAACATGTCTTATCTGGGCCTTGTACTAGGTGCTAGGTGCAGAAAAAGATATCTAGACTTCGACCAGCTGAAATGAAGGGCTCTTTGTTAGAATTTGGCCAGAAAGGAAGTCAGCCACTCATCCGCAAAGCTTCAGTGGGAAACCATAGGATGGAAGTTTGCATAAGAGGGCAGCATGCCACAGATGATCGAACGCTTTCAACATATCAAGAGCAACGACATTAGAATTACATATGACTGGATGAGTGTCCTCCACAGTTGCGTGACGTAAGCTAGAGGACTCCCGTGGATCGCTAGTGCCTGAAACAATACTGCTTGTCGCTAGTCGTTCAAAGTACATCAGAAGCTCCTGGTTTAAGCACCTCTCCATCACCTTGTAACAGAAAGCAAAGCTATAGGCCTGTAGCTGTAACATTTTATGGAGCAAAGTTGACATGGAAACTTATCTAGCTTTATATGTAAAATGCTTTTTTACCACTTCTCGAAGAAAGTTAGAACTATTGGTCGCAATTGCCTATGCAAAATTAAGGTTTCTCGGCAATTTAGCAAAAACTAAATACGAATTAGTCTTGTGCTGCTTGACAGAGCGTTGTCATAGTCGGTAGCTGTGCGAAAATTTCTGCTACCTAGTCTAAAATTATAGAAGATTTGGACGTTAATCACCAACATCGTCAGATTTGGCTTTTTTCCGCTGCCCCTGACGGGGGTGCAGTCGGTTCGACTAGGACAATGGAATTCCTTATCATCAGAGCAATCCAGTAAATAAAAACCGACATTGTGAAATTTAAGAAAGAATTGACATTCTTGCGAGATTTGATTTTTTCTAGTACGCATCTATTCTATAGTCGCCTCAACCGTCACTGAGTAAGACGTCAATAAATCTATTGTCGTTTTTGGCGCCCCCCATACGGAGTACAATCAATTCCACTGAATCCCTCTAAATCGTATAAGTACTATACGCATGCATTATATCAGGTAACCAAATGAGTTCGTGGGGTTTTTAGTAGAAAAATAAAAATTTTCATGGAGAAACAATAAGACAATATTTATTCGTCGAAGTAATTAACATCACATTCAATGACCTTTTGCCAACGTGGAACCAATTTTTGTATGCCGGTATTGTAGAACTCAATGGATTTGGAGTAAAAAAAATGGCGGACTGCATTTATTACACCATCTCGAGTTGTGAACTGTCGGTGCCTCATACAGTTGTCAAGAGACAAAAAAGGTGATCACTGGGCGAAATGTCGGGAGAATATGGCGGGTGCGGTAACGTTTCCCAGCCGAGTTCACTTTTACGGTTTGAGGCTGTTTCTGGGTAAGTGTTGTTTGTACTCTTGAAGCTGCTCACAATACAAGTTAGCAGCGATGGCTGGACCCCTTTCCAAAAACTCATAATGGGCAACTCCAGCTGCTGTCCACCAAAAACACAACAAAACCTTGTTTGGGTGCAAGGAAGCCTTGGGCGTTTGTGGTACCGAATCAGTAGGAGACCACCAACGATACGAACGCTTAGAATTCCAATACAAAATCCATTTTTCGTCGCAGGTTAATAAACGATTAAGAAATGGTTCATTAGCGTTGCGTGAAATGTTTGCTGAACAAAATGGTAAGACGACTTAATTTGTTATCATTTGTCAGTTCATGTGGGTCCCATTTGCTTAATTTCCACGTCTTTCCTAGCTTATGAAGACGCAAACGAATAGTTTCAGGACTCACTCTGAACATTTCTACAAGTTGTTGGCACGTTGTCCTGGAATTTGTGTCCACAACCTGTCGAAGATCCTCGTTGTTCATGATTTTTGGTCTCCCTGAGCGCGGTTCATCGCTCAAACTCTCCCGAAGACAATTTTTTGAACCACTTCTGTGCTGTTCGATCACTAACGACATCATCTCCGAATGCGGTACATATTCTTCGCGCCGCCGCTGCAGCTTTTCTACCAAGTTTGTACCCATATAGTAAACAACTTCGAATTACTGTTTTATTGGTCGCCATTTTCAATTATTAAAACTAGGTATGTAACAATTTTCAGCAACTTTTTATGTGTGTGAGAAAGGAAGGATTCATACTAAAGTGACAACAGGGAACAAACAATCGCTATCGATCAACAACATCCATGACAATGTGCGATATACAGCAACCACAGGAACTTATTTGGTTACCTGATAGATAGGGTGACCATATATGTACTTTTTTTCGTAGGACAGTACTTTTTTTCAAACTCTGTACTACGATCCTTTAAAAGTTTATCAAGTACACCTAAATGTACTATTTATATAAACGCACGTTACAGAAAACAAAATTGGTGACTGGAATTTAAGAAATATTTCTTCTGAAGATCAATGGCTCGAAGCTTTCCAAACAGAAAATGCATTGAAAAATGTAATTTTTTTTGTGTGTCTGGGACCAGTGCGTCAATTGAGAGGTTATTCTCAAATATTAATAACTATTGGAGTTCTGAAAAATCATAGTTGAAGATATATCTACTCTGGAAGCCACTATGCAAGTCTGCACAAACTTTAATGATACTTGCATTGAAATGTTTCATTTTCTAAAGGGTAAACCACAAATTTTAAAGTCAATTCATAGTTCTCAAAAGTACGACTGGTACCAAAATGAAGATCCAAATGGTCAAGCTAGCTCGTCAAAGGAAAATTATTATTTAAGTATTTACGTATACATATTTTTTATATTATAATAAAACATAAATACCTTTATTTTGTTTGATTAAAATTGTGTTGGATTCAGAAAAAAATTGCTCTAAGTATGAGTGGTGATTTTGCTCAGAAGAGTAATTTTTTTTGTTTAAAAATTATGGTCACCCTAATTATAGATGAACGTCGACCGCTGTTTTGTAGTTTTGGATGAATTAACTGCCATATTTTAGGTGTCCACTATTTTACAAAAGTAGGAAGCGGAGAAATTCCTGTTGATGAAGATGACTGGGATGACTGCAACGCTACTGAGGAAGAAACAAAAGATGTGGCAGATTTTGTAGATGGGAGCACAAAAACTGACAACACTAAAAGACGCAGAAGTTCCCTCATTTGCCCTATATACAATGTAAGTACTTTCTGATTTTGTATGCTACGATTTAGTAATGAGTAATTAATAATGAGAATTGAGTCTTACGATACAACCTTGTTAAACAATCCTTGTGTGTTGTGCTGCGTTTTTGTGATAAAACAACTAAACTGGTAGATAGTTGCTTTGCAACATGGAAAATTTTATCCAAATTCAAATCTCGATATTTTCGGAACGGAAAGAGATATTGAGTTGCGGTATTCAAAGCAACAGTCCACCACTTTATTAAAGACAAGTGCTAAAACAAAAGAGGGTAACATAACGTATCGCACGTTAGCAGTGACAAGCAATGAGTTACGCTATACTCATCCATATCGGTACCTGACTATAGGATTGTTTTTTTTTGTTGTTTTAGAACAGTACAATACTATATGAAAGCAGGAAAACTTCTCTTACGTCAAACCCTCAAGTGCCATCGACCTCTACAGTTAGAGTTACAATGGATAGAATGACACAAACTGAAACTAAGTTGCCAAAATGGAAGCTTTTCTTGTACTGTCTGAAAGGGGATGATAAATTCAGGAAGCAAAGGGAAAGAGAAGCTGCAGTTGCCAGCGGACTGGGAAAAGGTAAAGTCACAGATTACATACAAAATTAGTAACTAAAAGTATTTGCACATTATATAATGTATCATAGTAGCAGCACGACACATATCAGAGGATCAACCGCGTTCTGCACTTTGTGTATGTAATCGACTCAGTGCTTCAAAAATCTAAAGCTGTGATCTTCAATGCTTAAAAATTTAGTTGAAAATCTATACTTATGAGGTTGCCAAATGTCTAAATGAAAGTTCATAGCTTCCCCTACGAGGAGTTTATTTTAAAACGATTTCTAATTTTGTTTGTTAAGCCAAAATTGGCAAACTTTTGATTTTCGCACGCTGTACTTTAGACGTTAAACTAGATCATAATTGAAAATGCTTTCAGATATGGAATCTCGATCTCTACATGAATCTGCCATAAATGGTGGCTGGAAGTTGAATTTTCCTACTAGACCTCCAAAATGACCTCTAATGTCATTATCTAACTCATTTGAAATCATTGATTAATTGCTTTTTTGATACAACCTTTTTTCGAAAAAAAAATGCGCGGGTACCGATTATTCGAATATTTTAGATATATCTGTTTGAATAACAATATATTCATTATTTTAATCGCATTGGTGCCTAGCCTGACTGACCTTAAGTGACCCTTCCTACTCACTTGAAGTCTGGATCTGCCCTTAAAAATGGTTAATTTTGTATATTGTCCTTGCGCTGCAATTAGTTAAAACAGCGATAAATACTGTCCTATTTTGAATGCAGAATAATCAGCAAAGCAGGATAGGCTTTTAAGTCCAACTAGCTAGTTTGAAGCGTAGTTGCAAGAAGACAGTAGTGTGAGAATAAATGATTCTTATAGTAGGCATGTTTTGAAGAGCGAAAAAAACACACCACTCGTTGCCCATGAAAAGGGTACCCTATTAAGAATATTCTACTTCTCAAGCGGAGGCCAGGGGGGACATATGCCTCCCCCTCTCCCTCCTCCACAATAAAGATCAAGAAAGAGAACCAAAAAAAGGGTGTTCATGTGAAAACTTCCCACCACGGATTTATCAAAAACCACTGATTAAAGGAAAAAATGCCGAGATACGTCAAAAGATTTGTCAAGGGGACAACTTTTTAACCAAAAACTACTTCACCCCCTTTCACCCTCTTCTCCCCAGGGTCATCCACTTGAAAATTTTAAATGACAAGGGGTATCGAGTAATAGCTTGTTTAATTTGTTTATCTTTCCTAGTCCTTTATTTTGACGTTTGATTTTTTTAAATCAGTCGAATCGTTTAAGAGAAAATTAAAAAAATCTGTATCTTAATTTGTTCAGATAGAAAACAAACACACACGAAAATATCACTTCTTATTTCAATAAGTGTTCAAAATGTTGTCCGTTAGGGTTTGCGAAATCTATATTTCGTTTATAATTTAAAACGGAAACTACCAACATAAACAGCCATTCGAACGATTGGACGTGGCAGCAACCAAATAACAACACGAACTTTTTCTGCATTCTCTTTATCAACACAGATATCCTGGGCGAACTGTATTTATTGTTGTACCTGTTTAGTTATTTGTTGCTAACGGAAAGAAAGAATTTAATTTGCTGTCAGTTACCTTTATGACAATCTTCGGATAGTGAAAATTAATTTATTGATTCAGATTTTACTTACAAAATTATTTACACACTAGCCGAAAGAATGAAAATGGTTCTAATTTATGGTGCCCAAATTCAATGTGCTCGGCAAAGTGCCATCACATTTAAGTCCAGGCATCCGGGAAAGATAGCATAGGTATGTTTTGGACCTTGCTACTAAATTTACTCACACTGGATCTGTTGCAAATAAAAAAAACGTGATCATCGGAAAGTTTTAGATGAAGCCGCTCAAGTTGAAGTTTTGGGTCATTTTGAAATAAATCCTAATACTTCATTACGCAAAATTGTTGCTGCGAATGGCATTTCATTAGGCTCTGTACACACAGTTCCTAAACTCCATAAATTTCATCGATTAAAAATGAAGATATTGAAAGATTTAACCGAAGATGATTTCTATAGGCGATTAATGATAATAATACCATTTATGTAAAGAATATCTGCATCAGTGACGAATGCACATTTTATCTAAATGGATTTGTTAATAAGCATAACTGCAGGTATAGGAGCAATGAAAATCCTGATACTCTTGTAGAAGGGCATACCCAGTACCCCCAAAAAAATAATGTATGGGCAGGCATTTTAGGAAACAAATTGATTTTGGGCCATTGCTTATTAATTCAAATTAAAATGGAGACATTTATTTGGATGTGTTGGAAAATGCCATCAATCCTATAATCACTGAAACCATTGAAAACCAAATCGAAGAGGATAGAAACCCTACACTTGATGAGGCTGAAATATATTTCCAGAAAGACGGCGCTCCTCGTCACTATGTTCTTCCGGTTCGGCAATGACTAGACGACGAGTTTCCAGATAAATGGATAGGGCGAAGAGGTCCTATAGAATGGCCTGCTAGATCTCCTGATTTGACGGCATTAGACTTTTTTGGCCTCTTGAAATCTATTGTGTTTACTCCCCAACCTGAAACTTTGGATGAACTTCGTCAACGCATCATCGAAAGCTGCCATGATATCCCACATGTTTTTGAAAATGTCCGTCGGGAATTTGAACATCACCTATATCATTGTTTGGGCAATAACGGGCAACATTTTGAACACTTATTGAAATAAAAAGTGATATTTTCCTGTGTTTTTGTTTTCTAACTGAACAAATTAAGATATAGATTTTTGTAATTTTCTTGTAAACGAATCGACCGATTTTAAAAAAATCAAACGTCAAAATAAAGGACTTCGAAAGACTTCAAACGAGCTATTACTCGATACCCCTTGTAATTTGACTTTTTAAGGGGATGACCCTGGGGGCAAAGGGTGATAGGGGCTGAAGTAGTTTTTGGTTAAAAAGTTCTCCCCCTTGACAAATCTTTTGACGTGTCTCGGCGTTTTTTCTTTAAATCAGTGGTGAGAAGTTTTCAAATGAACACCCTATATGTCTATCTCACTCGTGGATTTGTACTGCGTTGTCATGCTCAGAACGAGATGTCAACATATTCATGACGCGATCCTAGCATGACACGGAATTAATGGACAAAGGCATTAATGTCTAAAAAGCAGGAAATAAACCTGCTCTAAATCCTGAGAATTACTTGTATGGAAAATATGATGAATGTTTCTTTATTTTCAGGAAACCAACATGGTCACATGAGACACATTAATAGTGTATCGCTAATAGACAGGACAGCTAGAGTAGTTTTTCCTGCATCCTTTGGATTTTTCAATTTGTTCTACTGGATGGCATACTTCATGTTGCAGGACAACTTCAAGTGGGGAGACACAAAATTGAGTTCGAGAAGTCATTGACCTTCGTTAATGTGTGCTTCCTCTTTTCATTTTTCCCTTCAATAACATCCTAGAGAAAATACTATGTAGTCAAGAAGTGTAATTTATGCAATTTCACAACGAACTTCATCACTTCAATGCCTTAGTTCCAAATTGAATAAAAATCCCAGAAGACGACGTCAAGCCGGAAACGGGGGACACACCAAATCATAATAGTTACCAGAAAAATATAACAAAAATCTACACCCTGTGAACATTTTGTAGTTTCATTACTACGAATTTCAATTTTTTTCTTAGACCGAGTGACGGACAGTGTCGTTCTACGTAGTGAAAGCAAGATATATAGTAACGCCACTTTTGTAATTCATGAATGCATTTATAAAATTCACAATAAATCTTCAAACCGCCGTCCTTCAGCAGCAATGCAAGCTTGGCATCTTAAAAATGATCAGACGCATCAAGATATTCTCCAACTGAACGGGCATAGTGCGCCGGGCATCCGTCTTGCTGGTACCGCATGTCTCTTAGTGCTGCTTAGTGGCACATCTTCCAATGAATTTAGTTAATCATTTTGTAAAAAGTCTAAATAAAAATCTCCATTCAAGAATTCTGGCAACTCAAAGGGTACAATGATTTGTCAATTTAGAATCCCGGTCAACATGTTTACTTTAAAACGATACTGTGAGCTATCTTTACTCATCAAATGTGAATTTTCTACATACCAATCGTGTAAGATGTGTAGATTCATAAAACCATTTTTTTTTAAATGTCGACTCATCAGTCCATAAAATTTTCTCTAAAAATCGCGGATCTGTCCAGTGTATCTGTAACATTGTTTGACAAAACTCAACTCTTGGAAGATAGTCCCGAGGTTTTAGAGATTTTACTCGCTGTACGTGGTATGGGTGGTGCTCGTTCTTTCGTAATATTTGGTGGGCTATTCTTTTTGGCACTCCCGTGCTTGCTTCTATTTGACGGACTGAAGTACTCGGGTCTCCTTCCACTACTTGTAGTACGCTGTCCTCGTAAGGAAAGCCTGGTTGCAGCACTAGCATTGCATTTACATTCCCCATAAACGAGGTGCATGTTGGCGTATTTATGTACGATGTACACAGACATGTAGCACTTCACAATCATGAATTAATAAAACTGGCGTTACTGTCTGTCTTGTTGTCACTACGTAGAATGACACTGTCCGTCACTCCGTCTAAGAAAAAAATGAAATTCGTAGTCCTGGGAACCAAAAGTATGCAACTTAGATTTTTTTATATTTATCTGATGACTATTATACTCGTAATAACTTTACGGCTTGAAGTCGACTTCTGGGCACCCTGTGGTTAATTGGCACGCAGATTGATTCTTCCACACTACAGGCTGTAAAAGTCAGACGTGATAACAGATTTACATTAAAATCTGGACTTTACTAATGTAAATCTAATGTACATTAATTTGTGAGTAACCTGCCATTTTAGTCAAAAGTAGTTCAGGATGGGACGAAATACTTCACTTTGCTGTATGTGTTTCAAAACAAACCTGACCCAAAAAGGTTAATATTTATAAAAAAGACGCTAGATTCATTGAATGCAGGCCGGTTTTCAGAAGACAAAAATGTCGAAAGTCTCGAAAACTGTGAGACTTCCTGAAACATAGTTTTGCGATATAGTAGGTCATGAAGTATTTTCAGTTGCAGGATTATTCTTCATTTTCTAAACAGCCTGTATATTCAGTTGCAGATGTAGAAAGGAAGGTTGCCTCTCCTCTGCCCATATGACTCGATAAATATTTGTATGTTATGTAATTATTTAGTTTTTTAGAAGAACGTAATTGTAGCAATCATGCTAAATAAATCTTAAACAATCAAACAAAATCATAAGAAATCTATATCATGTATATATATATATACATATATATATCTTGAGACGTGGTCATTGTCGTCTAGACCAGTTAGGTGAAAAATTAAAGCTTCCGCCTTTTGTTGGGTACTTCGACAAAATTTAAGCAAAGAGGACTATATACTTTTTTTAATTCTCTCTAGCTTTCAATGGACTTTGCCATCATCATCAGGAGCTGCAATTACAATTATAACAGCAGCAACAAAAGTGTAAAACGAATTTAAATTGAATCAACTTACAGTAGTATGTGAGGATGTTGCTAATTGTTGTTTTCGTATAGGATGAGGGAAACGTCCAGTAACATGGTGAGAGCTGGATACATGGTACAATGGTTAAAATTATATAAAATATGACAAGACAAGATAAAGACAGATTAAAAATTATTTAGAAAACATTAGAGCATTACGTCGTGAAGCCACTTGATGATTGCACAAAATGGTGGTCATGCAATAATGAGTGAGATGAACCTTTGACAGAAGGCCGAAGGTTGTCAATGTCTGTGTTGAAAGATGGAACGAATTGTGGGCGTGTGCCAAAATGTTGCCAAATCACTTCAGATGATGTGATTTTCAGAATGTTATGTAAGAAATTGTTAAACCGACCAAATTTCGACTTTTCACAACCATAAATACTTATAATCTGTGTTTTCGCCGATTCCACCAACAAATTTCATTCCACTCAAAATCTAATAATTCTCTTCTCACGATTTATTAATAATTGTTAATTTAAAATTCCCATTAATTAAAATATAGTTTATTCAACTGAATCTGGTCGGTTTAACAATTTCTTACATAACATTCTGAAAATCACATCATCTGAAGTGATTTGGCAACATTTTGGCACACGCTCACAATTCGTTCCATCTTTCAACACAGACATTGACAACCTTCGGCCTTCTGTCAAAGGTTCATCTCACTCATTATTCCATGACCACCATTTTGTGCAATCATCAAGTGGCTTCACGACGTAATGCTCTAATGTTTTCTAAATAATTTTTAATCTGTCTTTAACTTGTCTTGTCATATTTTATATAATTTTAACCATTGTACCATGTATCCAGCTCTCACCATGTTACTGGTCGTTTCCCTCATCCTATACGAAAACAACAATTAGCAACATCCTCACATACTACTGTAAGTTGATTCAATTTAAATTCATTTTACACTTTTTTTGCTACTGTTATCATTGTAATTGCAGCTCCTGATGATGATGGCAAAGTCCATTGAAAGCTAGAGAGAATTAAAAAAAGTATAAAGAGTCCTCTTTGCTTAAATTTTGTCGAAGTACCCAACAAAAGGCGGAAGCTTTAATTTTTCACCTATATGTATATATATATATATATATACAGGGTGGCCCATCCATGTGTGGACGGAATATTACTCATAAACAAATACATTTTGGGAAAATCTATTTATGGCATGGTATACATGACATTAGAGGGCACATTCCTAAAATATTGGCTATTATACAGGGCGTCCCAATTTTGACCTACATATCAAAGTTGTGATTTTTCAAATAGAATGTCTCATTTTTTATTGCATATTTCGATAAACCAATTCAAAAAAAGAAAACTGATATATCATACTATGGGGTTTTGGTAATTAGCTACTGAGATGTAAGGTGTTTTGTCCAGAAACACCGTCCACTTCGGCAACCCCTCAATTCACCATTTTGAAATTTGGAGTGCTGAATTTTGAATAAAAAAAACTTACACACCTCAGCTTTTATCTTATGTGTTACTTTTTCGAATTTTCATTTTTGCTCATACAGGGTGGTCTAAAACGCGAATTGCACTTTTTCTCAAAAAATTCAAATGCAATGTACATTTTTTGTGTGTGTCTGGATTCAATTTTTGATAAGCTTATTTTTGGTATAAGGTTTGATCAAGACAAAATCACTAGATTTTGAGTTATTAAGCTTTTAATAGAACAAAATACCAAAATTAAGGAAAAAAATCACATCATCCATGGAAAGAAAAGACAAACAGTGGGCTAGTTCCATATTGCTACTAAGAGTACAGATTTGACGTAAAAACTAATCACAATCAGAATAATGTAATGGAGAAAAACATCTATAACAACAACATAAACAAACAACTATCACTACTCAAGCCTAATCTACAAAAACTGCTCGAAAATATCCACCATGTTGAATACACAGCCGAGGTCTTTGGGTAAATGACCGTTGCACATCCCTCAGCATGTAATAATAATAATAATAATAATAATAATGTTTATTGGAGTATTATGTTCAGAAAAGCATCCTTAGGGAGACCGGGGCTGGTAGCCGCACGGGTTGGTAGCCGCACTGGCTTTTTCCCCAAAACTATAAATATGGCGACAATGCCGCGTATCGTGTTTTAAAGCTTAAGTCGCGCCCGAACTTTGTGGAAGGTTTCAGTCTGATCAGTGCAATAGAAGTGAGTGCACGCCGTCAAGTGTTATTTTGATGCTCGTAAGTGAATTTATTTTTTCTATTGTTTTTATTATAACTTTTGATGTAAAAGTAAGAATATAAAACCAAGTAGACCGTCCGAATTCTACGGAAATCTATTTTTTAGTAACATATTTTTAATAACCACTTTAGTTACCAGACAAAAAATAAACGCAAAAGTATTTTAAAAAACGCTTTGGGGTCGGTCGCCGCATTTGTTGAGGGGCAGGTTGCCGCATGCGGCAACCATCCCCACTTTGGATTTTAAATCATATTGTTGCGACGCAAAAATGTATTTATTTATATATACGTAATTTTAACGATAAGCTTAGCATGAATAATTTAACTTCTAACATAATCATAGCGAATGACCACCTGTATCCGATGTAAACTATAGAAGTTACTCGTATTCCACGTAAATAGAAAAATAACAAGGGTAAAACAAAAGTAAATCCCCGTATTACTGTGATGACGAGCAACTTCCTGTTTACCGCTTTTCATCCTTATTAGCTATCTCTATCTGGAAATCTCCCTTTCAACTTTTACGCTCATTATCCCTACCTTAGCTTCACATTTGCATCTAACTGGACCTAACCTGTATCCACTTTTCACTTTCACGCCTACTCTCGACTTATTCCCTTTAGCTCCACCCTTATGACGTCCTATCTATACCTTAGCATTTAAACCTTTCTTAACACTCCTACTCTTCCCTAATCAACCAATAGAATAGCATTGGATAATATTAAACACATAGCTGCATGCGAAAAATATTGTATACGTCGACAGCATGACAGATTCGTCTCAACTTACGAACGAGTAACACATAACTGTTATCTCCAACCACTTGTAACTCTTTATCGTATTACGCCATAAATTAAAATAAATCAATATATGTAAAAAATAAAGTCTTTGTAGATCAATTTGTACAAAGAAGAGTGAGTATACATAATAATAAATATATATTTCACTCCTACACTCAACACATATAATTTGGAAAAACATATTTAAAAACGTTTTATTATCTTCATAGAATATGAGAAACCGTAAAAGAACCACTGAAAGGGGTAAGACACCAGCACACATTATGCTAAGGGCTGCAAGAGAGGTCAAATTAAATAATAAATCCATTAGAGGAGCAGGAACCGATTACGATATCCCTGAAAGAACCCTGAGACGATTTCTGCAGAAAGTCACGGATGAAGAGCTTTATGGCACTAATGAACTACCTACAACAGCAGTCGGCTATATAAAAAAAAGACAGGTAAAAAAATATAATTACTTATTGGGCACTTTAGTAAACAGTGTGCTTGTGAATTATTTAATACATTTTCTTCATTTTCAGGTTTTCTCCGACGACCAAGAGAAACAATTAGAGGAATATATATTAAAGGCTGCCGATGTATACTTTGGCTTATCACCAAAACAGATAAGAACTTTTGCTTATGAATGGGCTGTCTCACTAAAAATTAAATTTCCCGATTCCTGGAATACAAATAAATGCGCCGGACAAGATTGGTTTACCTATTTTATTAAAAGTCTGTCTATATGTACGCCGGAAGCCACAAGTTTGGCACGAGCATCAGGATTCAATAAGCACAGTGTAGGAAATTTTTTTAAAAATCTGAAAACAGTTCTGCATAGGCTACAAATTGGTCATCAGGATATCTACAATATGGATGAAACTGGAATTACGACCGTTCAAAAACCTGACAGAATTGTAGCAAGAAGGGGCTTTAAACAAGTAGGTCGAATCACGTCTCAAGAAAGAGGCACATTAGTGACTCTCGCGATAGCTGTAAACGCCATTGGTAATAGCATTCCGCCCTATTTTATTTTTCCACGCGTTAACTTTAGAGAGCACATGCTCTCTGGTGCCCCACCTGGAAGCGCTGGCGCAGCTAACCAGTCTGGATGGATGAAAAAGGAGCATTTTCTGCACTGGTGTCAACATTTTGTTAAGCACACTGGTTGCTCCAAAGAAAGGCCGGTACTTCTGTTTTTAGACAACCATGACTCCCATTTATCAATTGATTCTTTGGACTATCTTAAAGAGAATGGAGTGACGGTGTTGTCCTTTCCGCCACACTGCTCTCACAAGCTACAGCCGCTGGACAGATCAGTGTATGGGCCCTTAAAAAAATATGTAAATACAGCATGCGATGGTTGGATAACCAGTCATCCAGGGTCTAGTATGACCATCTACGATGACCCTAAAATTGTGGCCGTCGCTTTGCCAAGCGCAATAACACCAAAGAACATAACAGCAGGGTTTAAAGTGTCACGAGTTTATCCATTCAATGAATGTGTCTTTTCTGAAGACGAATTTCTCCCCTCTTATGCTACTGACCGCCCACTTATTGAGCAAGCAAAAGATGATGAAATTGACAGGAAACCTAATAATAGCCCTAAACCTAAAATATCTCAGGATACTAGTCCCCAACCAGGAACATCTCGGGATTATTCTGAAATTCTTAACGCTGATAGCTCAATGCCAAAAACTTCTGAGATAAACCCACCGCTCGAAGAAAAAACTCCGGAAAAGCAAATAATTAAAAATATTAACATATTAGCCAAAGAAGATACCGAGTTGAACACCCAAAAAAAAAACAGTCAGTCCATTTGAGCTAAAGCCCCTGCCAAAAGCTCCACCAAGAAAAAATGAGAATAAAGGAACTCGAAAAAGGCGTCACACCGAGATTTTGACAGATACGCCAATAAAAGAGGCACTCAGAGATGAACAAACAAAAAAAGTTCCAATAAGAAAAGAGCTTAAAAATAACAAAGAAAACAAAAAACAAAATAAAAAGAAGAAAAATGTAAATAAAAAACAATTGGCTGAAGAATCGAGCGATGAAGATGAGTGTCTATGCGCTTACTGCCTTGATACTTTTACAAACAGTCGTCCGGGTGAGGAATGGATTAGATGTTTTTCATGCAGTGGGTGGGCACACAAAGAATGTGTGGGAGAAGATAACGCTCCTTTTTATTGTATTAATTGTATGAGTGAGTAGAGAAGTGTTTGTAACTTAAAATGTTAATATTTTTTATTTTAAGTCTTTGTGACCTAAGTTCATTAAAGAGTTAGTTACCTAATTTTCTTATAAGTTTAACACTTAACGATAACTTTGACTGTTTTTTTAGTTTTACTTTTTATTACCTGAGTTCATTAGTTAAATTTTCTAATAATTTTAGGTTTAAAAAAATGTACCTATTTGATTAAAAAAAATAAAAACATTTTTCTTGTCAAAATTTAATATTAGAAAATAAAAAATCACACATTCTTTATTTTTTTACAATCATTTTTGTATGCGGCAACCTACTCCATGTGGTGCGTCAACCAACCCCGTTAGAGGGGTAGGTTGCCGCACTCTGCTTTACTGAAGGAAATATTTTATGTTGCAAATATATAGGACTTTTCACGGCAACAATGGGTTTTAAAAAATATTAATTATAGTAGCCGTCATAAAATAAATTCAAAAAAGTGCGGCTACCAGCCCCGGTCTCCCCTAATTCTTTCCTTCATATTTTCCGGGGTAGATAACGGATATCTATTAACCTCTTGCTTAACGTATTCCCAAAGAAAGAAGTCCATCGGTGTCATATCTGGTGATCTAGGAGGCCAAGATATAGGCCCATCACAACCGATCCAACGATTTTTACTCCAGGTGTCCAAATAGTTACGCACACGATTATGATAATGCGCAGGTGAGCCGTCATGTTGGAAATACATATGCATCCGAGTTTGCAGGTTGAAATCCTCCAAAAACAAAGGCAAATGTTCGATCAAAAAATTCCAGTATTCTGTATCGGTTAATTTGTGGTCGAAAAAGAAAGACGCGATAACTTGTCTGCCAATAACTCCTCCCCAAACATTCAAGCTCCATTTATTCTGGAAATCTATTTGCCTAACCCAGTAAGGGTTTTCCGTCGCATAATAGTGCATGTTATGCCTGTTGACAACACATATGCTGTTCTTAAGGACGAAGGCCTTCATGCAAGCATAGGTGATATGCATGGTACCTATGCTTGGGAATAATCCTTTGGACAGAAGTTCTGCATATATCAGTTTCTGCTCCAATTTGCCGTGCACAATGGGGATTGCAACTTTAATAGAACCTCCAACTGATTCGCCTCGTTGATGACACTTGGATTACTTACACATTTTTTACTATATTCCACTGCTAAACTTGATTCAAAACGTTCTCGTAGTGTGGATAATGTTTCCGACCTTGAATGTCGCATATTAGCGTACGGTTGCTTATAAATGCGAGATGCTAAGAAACTATTTCTTTGGGCTTCGCCCAAAACGAACACCATATTCACCATTTCTTCTTTAGAAAAATTTGTATTATACTGCTTACAAAGCTAATTTTGACAGTTTGTAACTAATCAACAATTTATTTGTTCCCAAGGATAATGCGATATTTGAGGGAATTAAGCCGTTCCATAAAAGACGTGCTAATAACCGAAAAAATTGCCGTAAAAACCCTTATGTGTCTAGTATAAAAAAAAGCTTATAAAAAATTGAATCCAAACTTGCACAAATATACAGGGTGATGCAATTGAAATTTTTGAGAAAAACTACAATTTGAGTTTTTGATCACCCTGTATGAGCAAAAATTAAAATTAGAAAAAGTAACAAATAGGATAAAAGCTGAGGTATGTAAGTTTTTTTTTATACAAAATTCAGCACCCCAAATTTCAAAATGGCGGACTGAGGGGTTGCCGAAATGGGGGGTTTTTCTAGACAAATTTTCTTCTTTTGAATTGGTTTATCCAAATATGCAATAAAATTTGAGGCATTCCATTTGAAAAATCATAACTTTGATATGTAGGTCGAAATTGGGACACCCTGTATAGTGGCCAAAATTTTAGAAATGTGCCCTCAAATGTCATGTATAACATCCCATAAATAGATTTTCCCAAAATGTATTTGTTTATGAGTAATATTCCGTCCACACATGGATGGGCCACCCTGTATATATGAAGAGTGAAGTTTGTTTGTGGTGGTGGTTTTACTATGAAAGTGATTTATGTTATACACTTTTAGCATCAGTTGTAAATGCCTCGAAGTTAAAGAAATAAAATGCGCGTTCTTTCGTAGTACTATTTTTTTTTCAGTAATAATCGATATTTATTTATTTTTATTTATTCATATCATGCAAAATAATATTTGTCTTTTAGTGCCTGTATGGAAAGTATGCCAGTAATGATAGTATAAATAAGGTTTTAATGATTAAAACACTATAAGCCGAAAAAATTTAATGTTTTCTTATTTATAAATCAAACAATCTAATAAAATGGCAAATAATTTTTGGCACATGTCAAATATAAAAACGTTATAACAAAAATCATTAGAAATATGCGAAAATACATTGTAAAGAGACATAAAAATGTAATGAAATGTAATGTAAATGTATAATTTTATTCTAACAAACGAGTGTAAATAACCAACTATAAAAGTAATGTTTCACTTTTACCTTAATCAATAAGTAATAACCAATATATTAACTTTGTCTCAAAGCCTTTCAGTAACATTCTAAATATCTATCTCAGTTTAAGTGTATTTGGTGGAGGTACCTAAAATCTACTCAGCCTTTTTAGTGAACTCAAATATATGGACACAGTACTATTACAAACGATAAATAGTAAAATAGTTGCTTTTTAATGTAAAAATGAAATGTTTAGAGTAGTCTAAGCATGAAAACATACCTATATCCGAAATCATAAATATATTTACATAAAACTAGGCAAGATAGAACAAAGAATCATATAGGCCCAGATCACTTCACAATCTACCAAATAAACCCATGTTTGGTGTTTGCAATCATGTCACATTTCGTTAATACACTACATTTGCCAACCCACAGCCTGTCGCAAATGCTTTGATTTCGTTCAGGTTTTCGTTAGATCAACGATGATGTGGCATATTGATGCTAGATTTTATGATAACCTCATTACCACGGAAATGTCTTGAGGGTTTTTAAATATGTAGTCGCCTTTTCCAAGTACCCTGTAATCTGTAAGTATGCTCGACCCACAAGACCTATCTAGGTGTTCAACTTAATACTGGCAACAATACACTTCACCATTGCCAAATGGTATTTGTTGATCGAAATTCGAGTCAAAATTATGCCAAAAAACCTTATCTTCGAACTGAAATTCAACACATCTATGGCAGTTTTGGCGGTAGGCAAACCCAATTAACTTCCAAACGTTAATATGAGTAGCATTTGAGCCATGGGTTCAAAAAAGTAGTCAACGGGCCTAATACAATATGCCACAAGCTGATCAAAGTATCATGATACCAATACAACAATATTATAATGTATAATTTTCTTATCAAATATTTAGTTTCATGACATGCAATGACAACATTCTTTGTTGCACCTTTCACTATAAGAATGGTTTCATAAATAAATTGTTGGCTGGAATTTAAAATCCCTTAGATACTATAATTTTAAAATTAGTCAATAAATATAGTATAAATAGTGCGGAATAATACCTATAAACTAATTTGTCATTCTCCTTCTTTGGCTCATTTCAACAGAAAAATCATCAACATCAACCACAGAAAACCTACATTATTAAGGTGTATTATATTTAACCTGTTCAAAGTAATTAAGTCATATCCTCTATGGCATAAAATACACAGCTTTTCACCTAACCCAAATGATGAGTGTATCGTCTTATTGTCTGCCAAAACACTTTAACGCATTAAGAAATCTGCATAAGGAGGACGCAGCCATGGTCACAGCTTTCATGTTCAGGAAAATGTTCGTGTCTCGGGGCAGCTGCACGCTTTAGCACTTAAACATCGCTTCTGGGCGCAAATACCCTTGTGACAATTGAAGAGCGGGACTGGGATACATCTAAGGGAGGCGCACGTCTCACGGGAAGGTAATTTTTACATCAAGACAGCAATATTCAAGTGGCACACTTTGTCGACACTGAAAACTTGTTACAGTCACAATAGACCAAGTGACAACGAAATTTGTGTAAGAAGCTATATTTTCTTCCTAAAATGGCTAATATAGTGTGTTAACAATTCCAAACTTTAAAACTCTTTCGCCTTATGGATCAGAGTGAGGCGGCGCTACACAAAAAATACGTCATTTTAGTCGGAGGTCTGAACCCCAACTCGAACTTTTCTGTACTAATATTTGCTAGCTTGTAGCATTTGCTGTTTAGATTTACAGGATCTTTTTAAAAGAAAGTGGAGGCCCATAACCCGTTTTTGGCTTTTACAAAAAAAATGACCAACCACATATCAAAGCTCTAAGAAGATTAGACATTTTGGGGACCATTTAGCATGAATTTGCAATATTATTTTTTAGTTTGTAGCCTCCGCCATCTTGACACACAAGATTTTATTCAAAACAGGGAGTATGGATTAAAATTTAGTTCAGCTAGTAATCAATGCCCTATATTTACCCATCTAGTATTGCATTATTGTAGGCATAAATAAACAATTAGCTAGTAAATGTAATATAATACTATACATTCAATAATACGAATTATATTGAATAACATTTAAATTTGTGCAAGTGTCACATTTGTTAAATACTATTGCAAAATCAAAATATCAAAAGCCGTGACAAGAGGGCTGCCTATTGGGAATCAATAATTCTAACCAGTTCTAGCTGTGGATAATGGGATGGATTTATAGAACAAATTACAACAACTCTCTCAAAATATCTATACAACAAATGATACAAACTAACAAATAGTAGTAGTTGATATTGGAATAGGTCAGAATAAGTTAATTCAAAAAGAAACAAAAAAGAGAAAAATGTCTGGCATAAATGGCCAGCCAAAAAATGCAATAGAACCACCTGCTTGAAGGTATACCTCAACAAATTATGCTACAAATAGTGATGTTCAAATTTGCAAAAGCAGCATCATATTTCAAGGACAAACCTCTCATATGATTTATGTGAAAATGAAGTATTTTTTAATCGTTCGTACAGAGTCCTTGTAATAATCTAGTATTTTTCATCAGAAATAGATTCTCCAAACTTTTGAAAAATGTAACATTTTATAACATGGTTTTTATTGATATTTCCACAATCTCTCAGTCTTACAAGGTTTCGATGTCTCCATGACAACGTTTATATACGAGTTTTACTACCGACTTCAAAAATACGGCTCCTGGTCAAATCATTGCTTTTTATTATAGAATTCAGTAAAGGCAATTAAAAGAGCATTATTATGACAGTAACTAAAAATCTAAACTAAAATATTATTTTATTTGGAAATTTGGAAACAAAGCAGGTCTGCCATTTGGATTTAAACTAGTAATCATAGGAGTTCGAAATAAGATGTCATGTGATACCTACTTCAACAGCTATTAGTAGCCCTTACAAACTCCATCAATATATTTCATAGGCTTCGAAAATAGTGTAAGCAGAATAAACCTATACATATTCCACTCAATAAAATTTCTAAGATCTTCCTTCAAACGCACACAAAAATGAGTCAATGTGTGGAGTCAATTTCATATATTCGCCTAAATACACTAACTTTTATTTCCATTCCATTTTAAAAATTTTAACAGGCATATGAAACAGACAAAAGATATGCGATGCCTTCCCAAGAATTTCTAAAAAATTATTTGGTAATTCCCCTGAGTGTACTTCAAAAATGAGGTGGTCTGGTGACTTAATTCATATGAACTGCATCCATGAATAGTTTCAAAATTATCATTCCAACACAGCCAATAAATTTGCGCCATTATGTAAAATGTCAGACAGCACTTGGAATAATCATTTGCATTTTGTAACACCCCCTATGTAATTATTAGTTATAAATTGATGAATGCCGTTCAATAGAAGCGATATATATCATGATACCATTAAATATACTGCTAGATATCAATAATTATGTAATCTCCCATATTTCTCTAGCCAATCGAAACCACATATTGAAAGAATATTCTTTGTCGTAAACATTTTACAACGGTTACATTTTTCAGTAGAATGACCTTGACAATATATTTTGTTTATATGTAACGCTTTGTTTGTTTTTTCTTTTTATTTTCATATTCCTATACAGTTTTACTACAATAGTGTGAAAGGTCCCGTATCATGCTGAGATTGCGCGAAGCCATCATTCGAAATTTAAAGATGGCACCACGCAAAAACAGCATAGGCCAGGACCGAATGGGAGTAGACATTACCGGTTCCCAAAAACGAACGTCCAGCCCTCCAAAACGGCAAGCGAGCATGAGGTTATTTGACATTTTTTAAATGTTCCAGATATGTCGTCCATCGTCCCGAAGACGCCAAAAGTTTTTTTAGGGCCAATTTAAAATTTGGACCTTTCACTCTATTGTCGTAACACACTTTATAGGAATATGAAAATGAAAAGAAAAAATAGACGAAGTGTCACCTGGAAGACATAAATAAAATATATTGTCAGAGTCATTGTTTTGAAGAAGGTCACCATTTACAATAAAGAAGATTTTGTTGACACATTGCATACTTTCGATTGGCCAGAGAAATATGGGGAATTATCAACATGAAATCCACTTTATAAGTTTCAGATGTTACATCAATAATTATAGTGCTAATAAATATTATATTAATAACAATATTTAATAATTCTGATCCAAAGATTTGTGAATATTTCACAGATTTTACTAGAAGTGAATTTATAAATTTCTGTGAATAAATCAGATTATATCTATTGTGTATACTAATATTTATTTCATAAAATCACTTGGACCACCCCGAAAAAATAAAATGTGATTCGTGAAAAGGATCACCTTTATTGTTTGAGCACCAATAAATTTAAACCCCCGTCTTTTACAGCGAATTTTCGCTAAAAATTAAATATATACTTACTGATAAAACTACAATTAAATTCATAATTATGTAGTACTGTCAATTTCTCTCTCGTAAAGGCGACTCCAATCTACTAGAGTTCAGCAGCCTGTTTGGACTGCTAACATTTTCTTTATTCCCTTCCAATAACTTCGATTTACGTGATGATTTTGGTTCAGCATTTTCCTTTCCAACCTTTTGAATAACCTGTAAAATAGGGAAAATATTTTATTCATCCTTAAAAATATATTCTACAGAAACTGTGGTGGAAGACTGGAGAAGAAGTACAGATGAGAAAGAATGTACTGTAACAGTATTTTTAGATTTAAAAAGGGCATTTGAGACTATTGATAGGGAAAAATTGTTAATGAAACTGAATCACTAAGGTTTCCAAAGACCAGTATATTATGTCAAGCATTTAAAATATATCAGTAGGGGCCGAAACCGGAGTAAATTAAGCCTGTTACTATTCATTATTCTTATAAATGATATCTCTAACATTCTAGAATAGGTACTTCAAAATTAATATATTTGCAGATGATACATGAATATATATATATATATATATATAACACATATACATTTTAACACTGCTTCAAAACTGTTAAATAGTGATATAAAAAAAATATGAATTGGTTAAATGTTATTCAACTCAAATTAAATACTGATAAAACAAAATGTATTTCAATAAGGAAACATTTAGGTGGCAATACAATTAATGATGAAAAAATTGGAGTCGAATTATTTAAATATCTGAGTATATACCTATGTGGATAGAAGCTACTCTTTCAAGAGAACTACGACTATATTATTTCAAAAATATCAAAAAAGATAAATTTCTCTATAGAATTTCCAATAAGCTCAGCATGTAATATTGTAAAAAAAATGCATAACACCTTAATTCTTCGCCAGGCTTTATACTGTTCAACTATTTTTGTTTACTAAATTGAATAAAAGTATTATACTCGTTCAGTGTTCGATTTGAAAAATGTTTAATGTGAAATTTTAAAATCTCTTTATGAATACCTAAAATGCATAGTGATAAGAATGTAAAATTACAGAAAATTGACCCAAAAAATGTGTCAAGGAATAATTATACAAAATTGACGTTCTAGCATTAATAAAAAATAAATCTTCAACAAACAAAAAAAAGGCCAGAGCTGAGCATAAAAAAGATTTATAATTATTCTAAATGTTGGAGTTTCACAAAAATGTCATCAACAATATTTTAAAATACTTGAAAAGATCGGAGAATTTAGCAACTGAAATAATCTATCCAATTTTAATATTAAGTGATGACAACAAAATTAACCTGAATTTAAAAATACTGAGTCACAATACTTGCAGGATAATGAACAATTTTGAAACCTCCCTGTTTACTAAATAGAGCAACAAATACAGGTACATATATGAGCTTTTCTGATGCATGTTGTACTCTCCTAAAGTCACTCACCTTATTGCATTCTACTTCTTTCTCCAAATTCTGGTATTTATTCAAAAGCCTGTCATATGCTTTCTTCTGCTTCTGGTACTTGTTTTCCCACTGTCGCTGCTCTTCTCCCTCGTTCGCCAAATTTCCGATCTTGCTTTTTATCTTCATATTTTCCATTTCCAGCTCTTCAAACCTTTGCGCCAACTCATCGTATTTTCCCGACATCTCAATATATTTCTTGTGGATATTTCCTGAGTCATTTAATTCTCGTTCATACTCTTTAATTTTATTTTCGTAGTATTCAGTGTAGTTCACGTTGGAACTGAGTTTCTCTTCATATGCATGTAATTTATTACTCAGCACTTTAATTTCTGAATCTTTCTTCTCCAACTGTTGCTGCATTTCGGCAATAATGTCTTCAAATTTATCCTTCATCAATGACCAATCCATTTCTCTCATATGATAATCGTCCAATTCATTTTGATATTGATCTATCTCAAACTCATACTGAGTATTGAACATTTCCAGAGCATCTAGCTCTAACTTAACTTTGTTAATCAGATCAAATGCGTCTTTAAGTTGATTCATGATTTCTTCTTTCAACTGCTTCTCTTTCTTGTATTTCTCATGATACATCATCCCTTCTTTTTTATACTGATCCAGTTTCTTAAAAAGTTCGTTACTGAGTTGAGATATTTCACTATAGTTTAACCTGATGGCAGAGTCAAATTGTAACTCGAGCTCATCATTGGAAGATTGGCGCTCTTTCAAATCAGACTCCAGTTTGATATACCTGTCCTCATAGTACAAAATTTTGCTTTCACACTGTACAAGCTCTTGTTTGAGCTGCTCTACATCTCTATCAGAGTGTATGAGGCGTTCTTTGAGAACGTTTATAGTGGTTTGTGAATTTTTAATCGTATACTCGTACGTTGCCTTGTCTTTGTTTAGTTTAGAAATTTCAGCATTTTTATTTTCCAGTTTCTCATGCCAGCTTACTTTTATATCATTCAACTCTTGGACAATTTTACTGTTTTCAGCTTGGAGCTCTTTGTTCTGGCTCACAGTCTTGTTATATTCTGATACAATTTTGTGGTACTTATGTTGCATTGCCTTGTGTTCTTCATTGATCTTTTCTAATTCTAGTTTTACGTTGTTTTTCTCAACCTCGCTCTGAATTATATTGTACTCGCTAATAGCTTGGCATTCCTTCAAAATTGCATCAGATTGTGCCTGTTGCGTTTGGAGCTTGTTCCGCCATTCCACTATGATTTGCTCCATTTCTCCTTTCAGTTGTTTTTCAGTCTGATAATTGGCTTCTTTCAAATGTTGCTCAATCTGCCAAAACGGTGACACAAATTGTAAATAAAAAATAGAACTTTGATTAAGGTGATAAGTACATAAAAAGTTGATAAAAACGACAGTTCAAAATTTGCATGATTAAGTTCAAAACTAGTAAATTTGTAAGTGAAAAACTAAGGTACAGCATATCAGGATCTTGAAGACCTTTCATTCAGGCACTTTTGGTGAGTATAAAAATAATAAACAATACATTTTAACGCCCAAATACGACCAATTTTTTGAGTATCCATTGTTTCGGGTCGTGAGCTATAGCTGAAACTACTAAGGAATATTTTGTACAGGAGATTGAAGAAATTTAAACAAAAATTTAGGAGTAATAGATTGATTCTCAGATTTTATAAAAATCCTACCGATATGTTGGTTTTTATTCTGGATGAAGATTTTTTGCATCACTGTTGTCGCTTTTTACAGCGCGACTCCTTAGTTGTTTTTAAACCAAACAGCTCTTATAAATATAGGTCTTAAAATGTTCTATTACCAATACAGGGTCTTGGCAAATTCTATATCACTGATGAGACTGAATGAGGACAAAACGTGAATACTTCAAAAATGCTCTGTTGAGATGAGATTACTCTTCTAATACACATATAATTTTCAATGTTAATCTTCACCAACCTGATCATATTTTAAAACTAGGAAGAGATATAACGTTTCTCGAAAAGGACTAATCTGGCAAAAATGTCCCAACAGGCGAATCATACAAAATTCAATATAAAAATGCAACAGTTGTTCAAAGAGTCAGAGGTGTATGGAATCATTTTCTTTGTTTCTAAAGTGATCAAAATCAATTATGACTTCAACACCCTGTATCTTAATAAGACAAATCATCAATATTTACCTCCTTAATTTTTCTCGTCGACTCTTCATGCAACAACCTTTTCTCCTCTGCAAATTTTTCTTGCAATACCTTAATTTCCCTTCTCATTTCCTCTTCAACTTCCCTAATCCTATCTTCGGTGTCCTCCCTTTCTTTTTGCAATTCTGTCATCGCTTTCAGCATCTCAAATTCCAGGTCTTGAATCTCCCTTTGATGTTCTTGCCGCATAGCATCAATTTCTTGTTGGCTCTTCTTTTGAGTTTCAGCATATTTAGCTTCAAGTTCATGAAGAGCTTTTTCTTTCTTCAACAACTCTGACGCTTTTTCATCTTGAAATGTGTGGATGAGTTCGTGTATTTCTTTTTTATGAGAATGTTCCTTCTCTTCATATTTTTGTTTAAATTGTGCAATTTCAGCATGCAACTCATTGATTTCTCTTTCTAGAGCACCCACATCAATTACTTGTGGATTCTTTTTTTGAGCTTCAGCATATTTAACTTCAAGTTTTATAAGAGCTTCTTCTTTTTTTGATAATTCTGTTGTTAATTCATCTTGAACCCTCTGAATGAGCTCTAATTCTGTTTTATGTAAATTTTTAATGTCTTCACATTGTTGTTTCAAATGATCAATTTCAGTAAGTAACTCATCCTTTTCTCTTGCAAGATTACCTAACTTAATTTCATTTTCTTTAATAACATTTTCAAGATCCAGGTGATGTCTTATCTTCAACTCATTTACACTTTCTTCTAATGATTTTTTATCAGCTTCTATTTGGACTTTTTCTTTCTTTAACTGGTTTATGTTGTCTTTCAGTTCATCAATCTGTTCAGATAGCTCTTTGATAAAAGTATCTTTGTTATTGCATTCGACAATTTTTTCTTTGAGAGCTTCTATTTGAGCAATTGATTCAGGTTCTGGTCGCTTTGGAGTTTTTGGTTGGATTCTGTTGTAGAACTTCTTACATTTAGCTGCCAGTGGCTGTAAAATAAACAGAAAAAACACATTCGTTTTACGATACTGAATAAAATGGCAACCTTTGTAATGCATATGGGACTGCTACTGAAGGGAGCTGCTAAACATCGATTTTTCTTAAATAACTTTTAAACAACATTATAAGATTTAATGAAATTTTTACAGCCTAGTAACCAATTATATATCGCCAGGGATGGACTAGCTCTTAACACAATTTGGAAAAATTTTAACACCATATATAAGTAGGTATGGCTCAAAAACGCTATTTAGGGTAGATCTGATTTCCGTGAACGAGTTGTTTTTAAGAAAAGGCTTGGTTAAATCCTATAATTTTGATTCCCACTATAGGCAAATCCACAAGAAACTTAACCTTGATTAAATTTGTAATAGCAGCACCCTAATGGTAGAATGCATTTTTTTCTCAATTTTTTGACAGTTGTGTAGTTAGTGACACAAAATTTAAAGTCAATTGAAATTGTCAACTGACAAAATATCACTGCTGTTCTTGTTACATATGCAAGAGACATTCAAAATTCGCGAAAAAGAAATTAATCTTAACATGCTCTTTCAATATTTTGTGTATCAAATTGGAGTAGTCACTGACTAGATCATCATACTAATCAAAATCCAATAGTCGGACAACCATGTGACTACTGGAATGGCCTTGTTGTAGTTAATCTATCTTTTCCTATCTAACCATACAGACTATCATGGCATTAACACGTTGCACGCATGGCGGTCCCATGGGACCGCTTGACAACGGGCCCATCACGCCATGGCGATCGGTATGGACCGCTTTGTATTTAATTTATTTCCATGGTAACTCCACCCAGATATCCATATTGAAATTCATTTGAGCATTAGATATGGACCGCTGTGCTTTGTATGGATTATACCAATATGCCAAGTGTTTGGTGTATTTTTATTTTAAATAGTTATTCAATTTTTTTTATTCACATTACTTATTTTGTACTAAATCTACACAACAACTTTGACAAAAACAAACAAGGTTCCAGTGAAAATGCATATACATAAAATAAGTTATGATATAGGGATACAAAATATAAGATAATTCAATTTATTTATGACTTGTTCCAAAACAGTCAAGGCTAAAGTGGGGATTTCCTTTACAACTGTCACAATATGTAGTAACTTCTGGAATTTTATTTTTGGTATTTCACCCATAATTTTTTTATTATAACATTCTTTACAATACCATCTGACTTCATGTGATCTTCCTTCTTTTTTTCAGTACATGTCGTTCCCTTCTTGTGACAGCTTTTGACATAGATGGTAGATTAGACACATTATATTATTTATTGGCAACAGCACTTTGGCCAGATGGACATTTTTATAATATTTTGCTTGGCGCTTAACATGTTAAACAAACCAAAAGATAACTAAAGCTGCCGCCAGTAAATACACAATGAAAGATAACAAATAATGTAGATTATGGCCAGTGATATTATGTCTGACTACCAGAGTAAATGAAATTTCATAGCATCCCAATAACCAACCACTACCATTCTCCTGCCATTTTTTTACAAGACTATGATATAAAATTTAACATTTTCTTTTCATTCGAGAATAGACACCAAGAAAAAATATAAGAATAACTGGTATTTATTAGGTGAGGCATTGGCTATACTTCCACTTAACCCTCCTAGGGATGCTGGTTAAAGAAGTCAAACCTGTGAGAAATATTGGGAAATTGCCTAAAACATGTAAATGGTATGGTAGTCTAAAGTGGATAGGGCAGGATGAGAGTAAATGATAAAATTAGTTTCTTGTTAATTTTTATGTAGTTGGTATGTATTTTTGATACATACATATTAAAAGGATGATATGACTGTGTTTGATTATTGTTTCTCAAAGATTTGAAACTTCTACTGTACCTACACTATCACAATTTTTTAAATACAGTTCTGTCTAAGCTAGCCAATCAAATGTTGTGCTACACTTGGCAACTAGCTGGCCCACTACTATAGCACCTTCTGTCCAAGTACTGGCAAAATAGCAGCTTTTTGGTTATTTTTTTTTTATTACAGTAATGTATTTGTTGTAGGAAAAAGTTAACAACATAAATGACTACCTCCAAAAACATTAGTATAGTTATCTTTAACACAAAATTCATAATTACACTTTGAATTCCATTTTTGTCTAAACTGTCCAGCACATTCACTCTATGTACTGGAAGCTGTCCAATAACATAAGATTGGTATTCAATATCTTGAAGCATTTTGTAGCAAAACTTGTTGCTCACAGATATATAGAAGACAGGTAGAAGATATATAAAAATAATAATGAAATAATATTTGAGACATGGCTCCAAAGGTCCGAAAAATAGTCACTGATAATTCAATTGCAGACAAATTGTTTAAAACGTGCCATGAACAATGAAAATGATACTTACAGTTTTCATAATAGGGACACTTCTTGCAGAAAATCCATCTGATTTCACTGAATTTTTATCACCATCATTGTTAGTTACCACAGTATATTTTGCAACTTTATTTTTGGTTTCTAATTTCAACTTCCTTTCTACATTGTACGATGTAGGACTTGGTGCTTGTGCTACTAATAAATATTAATGTTATGGTTTTTATATTACAATTGGAAAAAAATCACTTACTCCTTATATCATTGAACCTTTGTATTTTTGCCTTTCCAAAAGACATACTCAACCACCTACAAAGCCTAATTGAGGTAATATCAATTGCACCACACGCTTACTTATTCCGTTTTTAAATTTGTACAAAGAAATAAATTCTTTGATTTAACTCTTGCACACATTCACTCAGCATTCGACACTCGGCGCCCGTTAAAAACCGTTATGCAAGGCGCCAAAACGGTGTAATGTCATAAGTGTAAACGTCACTTTTGGATTGGCCAATAGAAAAGTGAATGCCTCAGGAATTTTTCGTATTTATGGGAACTATATTGACCCCTAACGTCGATATCAGGAATGTTCTTGTGTTTATAGTCCAGGAAAATACGTACAGTAGCAAGATATGTGCCATTGTATTAAATTAAATTTTCATAATCCGCAATGGTTTTGCGTAAGAATTCCCTACTCGCATATTACGCCAGAATGGATTGTGGCTTTGCCTTCTTCTCTTGGACTATTACTAGTTTACAAAAAAATAACAGGGATAAGAGACCCGTCCTTGATTTGGAGATTCGCTCATAGATGGCTCGACATTCTGCCACACGTTCCGCTTATATATAGACAGAATCACGAAAGATGACTATACGTCATACCATAAAATGTACTGAAGTAATCAATAGACGTACGTCGATGATAAAATCACGATGTCAGGAATAATAACAAATTTATACTATGATTTGGGAAGTCAGGTTATTTCACTGAATATTTTTGTTTTCATTTTATTTCATGGTTTTGAGTTATAATAATCTTAGTGCAGAGTTTTTGTTTTGAAAAAAACAGTTTATGATTAGAATACCTTAAGACAGAAACACCAAAAACCAAAGTATTATTCGAAAACAACCTAACCTGCTTTAACATAACCGAACTATTCATCTTTCAAATATGATCGATTATGCAACATGAAAACATCAATCAAATCCAAGCGAATAACCAAAATTTCTGTTATGTGCCGCGGTTATAATATGGTTCAAGATGACACACGGGTTGATGACGTCAGTTACACGAATCGCTTGAACGCGTTGGTTTTAGCGGTTTTGTTGCAAGTTGTTTATTTTAGAAAAGCGCGTATATAATCTCCGATTATTTTTATTATCACTTAATAATCGGTGCTTTTTCGTCTACAACTGTACGTAGTCGTGCCATAAGTTCTGTCCCATGATAATCTCATGATAAAAATGAAACAAGATAAGATATATTTATATGAAAGATATTATTTATTCGACAACATTTTTAGAATTCATAATCAAACAGTTTTATTCAAAATGTCCCCCCTTGGCCTTCACACACTGCTTCAATCTCGCGGGCCACTCATCTATCACTGCACGCACAGCTTCCAAAGGAATAGCTGCCGCTGATCGGATCAAATCCGCTTTCAGGGACTCGATATTACGGTGGGCTTTGGAGCAGGCCAACTGCTCTAGCAGGTCCCACAACTTGTAGTCTAAAGGATTGAGGTCCGGACTCCCTGAGGGCCAATCTTCCGCAGCAATGAACTCTGGCACATTGCTTTCCAGCCAGCGCTGCGTACTCTTAGCCTTGTGAGCGGGGGCGGAATCCTGCTGGTAGACCCAGTGTTGGTTGGCAAACAATGTACCACTTAAAGGCTTGACGATAGGATCCAGTATGTCGCTCTGATAGTTTGCCGCTTTTGTTTTCACGCCCTGTTTACAGAAATGGAGCTGAGTGACCCCTTCGTAGGACACCCCCCACCAAACCATGACTGACGCAGGGTGGTGGCCTCTCTCAACTCTCGGAATGATCTCCGAAGCTTCCTGTGAACTCCTTGCATACACTTTGTCATTTTGTCGGTTGAATTTTTCTTCTATGGTGAAGATTTTCTCATCCGTGAACAAAATCTTTCGGATTCCCCCAGCTGCGTACCTCTCCAAGAGCTTCTTGGATCTTGTCGCCCTGATGTGTCGCAAGGTGGCCGTAAGTCGCTGGCCCGTACGTCTCCGGTAAGCCCCTAGCCCTAGGTCTTGTTTAATGATGCGCGACATCGTCCGGACAGGAATCTTCATTTCCCTGGATAGGATCTTCTGCTTCCGGAGTGGATTCCTTTGAATCCTGGCTTTTACGGCTTTGATGGCTGCTGGAGTCCTTACTTGACGAGGTCTTCCGCTTCTTGGCCTGTCATCAACAGAGGACGTCTCATTGTACCGCTGAATGGTCCTAGACACAAATTTACGCGATATTTGAAGGCCGCGTAAGAGTTCAAAAATCTGACTAGCACTGTGATTACACTTATGTAAAGCTATCACTGCAATACGGTTCTCTGCCTTGCCCCACTCCATCGTTATGCTTCGAGAGATCAATACAAACTGAGGTATATGTAATTACCCGAAAAGCGCTTAATCAACTGACACCACAATATAAACAATCGGACAAGTATTAACAGGTCTACACTTGTTTGAAAACGAGGGACAGAACTTATGGCATGACTATGTATATGGAAAGTTTAAATAAGAAACCTTTCATAATATTCATGGGAGAAATGTTTTTTTCAGATTTTTTTTTAATGATGGAACCATGGCTTTGTAGCTATGATAACTTTCAATTCTCTAAATTTTTCCGCATGTCAAAGAAAACATTTATTGATTCAGCAGAAATGATGAAAAAAGAAATGAGCAAAACCATATACAGGTGGATATCATCTAGTGAGTTTATATGGCCATATTTTAATATTCTTGTGGTATATGGCTACACAGGATACTTTGTTAAGCATAGGAACTACATTTAAAGTGTCCCCAACAACCGTAATGAGTATAACTAATAAGGTGCTCCACTTTATGGTAAAACTGAAGTCAGCCTGTATCATTTTTCTCAAAAATGAAGCTGAAGTACAATAACAATATCCAATACCCGGCAAAATTCTAACTTGTCACATTTCAAATAATAACCAGAAATATAAAACTACTCTTGAGTTGGGTAAATACCACAATTTTGCGGTGATAACTATGACATATAACAGCTGATTCGTGACGTCACGGATCTTATAACCAAACTGATAACTACACTCGCTTGAACGGATTGGTAAATACCAACCCAAAATGGTAAATACCATTTCCATTTGGTTATCCGCTTGAATTTGATTACTGACTGTACTACCAAACCTCTGGGACATGGGTTGGCGGAGGGACTACAATGTCTACCTCTCACGTCACTCCGTCGCACAATAATCAAATCCAAGCGAATAACCAAAATTTCTGTGTTATGTGCCGCGGTTATAATATGGTTCAAAATGACACACGGGTTGATGACGTCAGTTACACGCATCGCTTGAATGCGTTGGTTTTAACCGCGGTTTTGTTGCAAGTTGTTTATTTTAGAAAAGCGCATATATAATCTCTGATTATTTTTATTATCACTTAATAATCGGTGCTTTTTCGTCTACAACTGTATATGGAAAGTTTATATAAGAAACCTTTCATAATATTCATGGGAGAAATGTTTTTTCAGATTTTTTTTTTAATGATGAAACCATGGCTTTGCAGCTATGATAACTTTCAATTCTCTAAATTTTTCCGCATGTCAAAGAAAACATTTATTGATTCAGCAGAAATGATGAAAAAAGAAATTAGCAAAACCGTATACAGGTGGATATCATCTAGTGAGTTTATATGACCATATTTTAATATTATTGTGGTATATGGCTACACAGGATACTTTGTTAAGCATAGGAACTACATTTAAAGTGTCCCCAACAACCGTAATGAGTATAACTAATAAGATGCTCCACTTTATGGTAAAACTGAAGTCAGCCTGTATCAATTTTCTCAAACATGAAGCTGAAGTACAATAATAATATCCAATACCCGGCAAAATTCTAACTTGTCACATTTCAAATAATAACCAGAAATATAAAACTACTCTTGAGTTGGGTAAATACCACAATTTTGCGGTGATAACTATGACATATAACAGCTGATTCATGACGTCACGGATCTTATAACCAAACTGATAACTACACTCGCTTGAATGGATTGGTGAATATCAAGCCAAAATGGTAAATACCATTTCCATTTGGTTATCCGCTTGAATTTGATTAATCACTTCTCCTCAGCCAGCTCCCACAGCCGACGTGTCATCAAGCTAATCTTCGTCAAGGGCGCGTAACGTCTTTTGTTTTGCGTGATGCGGCGAGGTGGCATACGCTGAACTACAAATTCATTTCTCTAGGTATTAGAATCCGAGGAACGACTGTCGTAAGATCGTTCGACTATTCCGAGAGGAAGAAGTGCCCGATCACACTTTTCATCTTCCTTCGGAACGGTTCGAGTAATTCCCGTTAACTTTTCGGATACTGAGATTAAGGAAGAACTTCAGCAGAGGGGATATCGCCCTCTTCATACAGGGTGTGGAGAGAGGATGGACGATTTTAAAAAAATCATAAAATAGTTAATTTTTACTCGAAAACAAATTTATTGATGGAATCAGGTTCATAAGGAAATAGCATTTGAGGCAGTCAAGTGCGGAAAATCACATCAGGCATGTGGTGGCCGAAATCTCTTATATAAATGAAGACTTGAAGCTTGTCTCAAAATGGTTAGCATCTAACAGACTAAAATTAAATGCAAGTAAAACGAAAGCCTTGTTAATTGGAAAAAAACAATGTACAAATGTTCAACTGAATATTGATGGTGAAGATATTGAATTCGTAGAAAATTTTAAATACCTGGGAGTTTTTGTTGACTCCCGATTAATTTTTGATATTCATTATGAAAAAGTTATAAATAAGATTAGTAGTAAAGTGGGATATTTATCGAGAGTTTCTGGATGTCTGAGTTCATATAGCAGAAAAATTATCTATAATACCATCATTCTTCCAAATTTCTTGTACTGTTCGACTATTCTATATTTAGCAAATAATTCCATTTTTGAAAGACTGCAAATTTTACAAAATAAGTGCATGAGAATAATACTAAATAAAGATAAATATACTCCAATTAGGCAAATGCTTAGCAAATTAAAATGGCTCAATGTAAAAAAATTTATCAAATATCTTGTAATGATATTCATTTATAAAGTAAAAAATAATATATTTCCATCAAGTCTAACTAATTTAACATCATCAAATGTCGACCATCATTTAAATAATACCAGAAATAAAGATGACTTCCATTTAATGACCAAAAAGTATAACATATGCTACAAATCTGTATTCCATCAAGGGTTGATTGAATATAATAAATTATACTCGGAGATAAAAGACCAGAAAACTTTGACAAAATTTAAAGTAAAATTGAGAAATCACTTGTTAAATCTACAATTATAGGTTGCCCAGCATTTACATCATACACCATATGGCTTGAATTTACTAGTTCTAAGTTGTTTACAATTGTTCTGTTTATGTAGCCAAATGTGCTAAATAAATCTTTCTACTACTACTACTAGTGCTGGAGGCGTTCTTGGAAGTTCGCGTAGACTCTCTCCAACATCGCTCTCTCAACTTGGGCGACTTCCACGCGAATTTCGCCCTTCAATTCGTCCAGAGTTCGGGGCTTGTTCGCGTATACTCTAGCCTTGAGGTGTCCCCATAAGACAAAATGAGGTTCTCATTTTGATCGATCAGTGCTTCCATCTCACGTGCGAAGTTCATTCATTGTGCATAATCTCCGGGCTGTAACTGTTGCACAATGGCCAATTTATAGGGGTGAAAGCGGAGATCCATATGCAAAATTCGCCTTACCGAACGATCACTAAGGCGAAGTGCAGCAGCATGTTTCCGGGCAGATCGAGTCGGACTGCGAAGAAAGACCTGTCGAACGCGTTCAACATTTTCAGGAGTTCGAACTGTTCGCGGCGCTCCTCTTGGTCTTCTGTTGATCAGTTAACCACGCCTGCGAAGTGATTCAACCCAACGAAGGATGGTGTTTCGAGAGGGAACAGCTCTATTCCGATGAATGTTGAAGTGGCGACGAAACTCACGCTGTACGACGATGACTGACTCATTATTTCGGACGAAACAATCATTTTCGAAAACGCGGTGCTCCACCGTCCAAGGCTCCATAACGACAACTGGTAAAATAATGCTAGGATCTCACGAGTCAAACGGCACCCTCCCCACCTCTCTCGTAGACGGAGGCGGAGAGTACTACCCATCCCAAAAACGTCCGTCCTCTCTGCCGCACCCTGTATTATATTTATTCGTGTGAGCCACAGTGGCGGCGCGCTCATGCCTTTGGTGGTTGTGATTCTGCTCAAGAGTGAAAACTCCCAGCAAGTATTCAACGAACATGAACTGCTGGGACTGGCCATTTGAGTTGAAGTTCAGAAGAACTCCCAAGACTCATTGGGCAGTACCACCGCTGCCAAATGTACGGGCATGCGCAGTCATACTGCACTGCACCACCCAAATACCTGAAATATGCAAACGACCACATGACGCATTTGTGGCCCCTCACAGGACAGGAAGAGCGCCGGTGTGCGAACTGTGGAGAATGTCATCCCGCAAGCAGCCCGACTTGCAAGTTCACTCCAAGGAGGGATTTGCAAGTTATAGCACAAAGGCGCAACCTGTCATACGCGCATGCAGCTAGGTAAGCAACAACTTTGTCTGCCCCTCTGCCCAGTCTCCTTTGAACGCGCAAAATGTGGACCTGGCAACCGTGCTAAGGTCCTTACAACAAATAATAAGTTCACTGATTAGCGCTACTCAAGCGTTGCAGGCGATCTTTCCTGTAAATGGCTAGATACAATATAAGACATCCTGTATTTCTCAAAATTCTTTTTTGGAATTGTTTGGACCTAAGGGACATTCCCAAGAAACGGGTACTTCATCAAGCTATTTTGGATGACGGTATAGATGTGGCCCTGCTGCAGGAAACGTTGTTTTAATCCGGGAGATCTTATTGCTCACCCGAATTATGATGTTATACGTGCTGACAGATTGAATGATCGAGATGGTGCTGATTAAACGCGGTACTGACTATTATAGAAGCACGAATGCAGAGATGCATAACATCGAACCAGCTTCTGTGATCAATATGGCGGGAGTTGCCCCATTGAAGATCACATCAGTGCATGTCAGGTGTGGTGCCAGGCTACAAGAGGCGGATCTGGAAGTCCTTATGGACTACTCGGGTCCGCTCATTGTGTCAGGGACACCAACTGCCAACATCATCGAGCATAGAATTCCAGGTTGAATTCCACGAGTGGAATTCGACTGTACAGCCATGTGATACTAAATGTAGAGAGTACTGAGCAGCCGACACACGACTCATTCAATCATATTCAGGCACCAGTCATTGACTTCGCGATATTTAAAAACTGTAAATACATAACCTCCTCGCGATTCTGGTATGATATCTCTAGTGATCATCTATCTGTTGTCTTGGAGGTGGGCAATGAGCAGACTTCTGGGAGCAAGCTCCTCCAAGGAAACGCATTGATTGGGAGCTATGCAAGTTGTTCTTAGAGTTTCCTAATATCTCGGTCATAGATGAGACTGGAATAGATGCCGCTCAAACAGAGTTGACAAATTTTATTCAAACAGCTCTACAGCGTGCAGCTGTGTTGCATGTACAAAGAAACGGCAGACCTTTTTTGCCTGCGGACAAAAAATCTCTGACAAAAGAGCCGCTATTAAGCAGACATAATGATGACATTCGTCGGGCTACGAATCTTGTCCATGAAGTGAGAAACGCGCTCCATGCATTCCGCAATGAGCAATGGAGCGAATTTCTGGCGGTAATGCTTGATTCAAGTATTTTTCTCTGGAGGGTAGCAAAGTCACTCAGAAACGGAAAGCGAGAACAACTCCCGCACATCCACGGTCCTGAAGGCATAGTCTTCAGAACAAAGGAAAAGGTCGAGGTTTCCGCTGGCACCTATGATTTTGATAATAACCTCCACGAGGTAAGATGCGTCAGGAGATATTTTAGAGCCAACGGCGTTAGCGGAGGCACACTGAACCCTCTTCAAATGACTTCTTCAGAAGATTCATCTGAGGCTTCGCATGACACATTAGCGGAACCCTCCAAGGTTACACATTGCACTCCAGCGGACCTCCTAGGTGTTATTAAAGACCTCAAGGTGCGTAGCGCTCCTGGGGAGGATCTAATCACCAACAAAGCGTTGAAGCTGCTCTCGCCGAAAGCTCTGGCATATTTGGTGACAATAATCAATGCGATGCTCAGAATCCAGCAACTTCCTGCCGGGTGCAAGACTACTGAGCTCATCATGATTCCAAAGAAGGTGGGTTCGATATTTCCTCAGGATTACCGTCTCATTAGTCTGCTGTGAGCTCCTTCCTTGAAGGAAGTTTCGGATAAAAATTGACAATGTTTTCTAAACAACACGACCAGTACGGACCGGTGTTCCTCAGGGCTCGGTCAATCCTTTACTCGCTTTTTATCTATCACTACGTCACCCTTGATACAGGCATGACCTGTCAGAAACATACAACAGCATTGAAAACAAAATTCCAAATTGCGTTTAGGCAACTATATCCTTTGTTATATAGATCCTTCAAATTGAGTTTGATAAACAAAATTCGACTGTATAAAATGATTACTATTAGACTATCCATTACTTATGCATGTGAGGCTTAGTGTTTTCTTACCAAGCCATATATGCAAAGTCTTCAAGTACTGCAAAGCAGAACTTTACAAAACAATTTGCAACACTCCATGGTATGTATCAAACGAGATAATACACAGAGACCTTGACATTCCTCACTTGATGGATCATATCAAGCTTCAGGCGCAGCGATGTTATAGTCAAGCGGAATCGCACAGCAACCCTCTGTTACGTGCCTCAGTGGACTACACAATAGAGCAAGTAAGCATTCAAGGCTCCGACTCGCACTATGATCAAAACTTTTAGTAAATCCAAAATTACACTCTAACAAAACCTGAATAAGAATTTGTTTTTAGTTTACCCCAAAATTAATCCGTGTACCATATCAAAAAGCTAGTACAATTCTGTTTTTCTTTGCTCTTCTCATGTTTCCTTGTCTTTCCCTTTCTCTTTTTCCTCGACATTGTATGGTTTCTGGGCAACCAGGACAGACAGATTCGACTAACGGACATTAGACAATGGCAAATGTCCTACGGACCGCCCAGAAAAACAAATGACAAATAGTAAGTTGCTGCAGTCGAGCTCTTTCTATCTTTTGGAAAAATACGTGTTATATTTTCAGTAACTAAGATTCCATGTAGCTCCTAAAGTATTGTCCCCACTGTAGAAATGTGTATGACATAATTTGTTATTAATGTAGATAGTACATATATTATTAATAGTTATGAGATACATGCAAAAACCTGAATATAGAGGCACATTATTTTGCCTGATTTCCTTTTTTATCAGGTTATTTGAGAATAATTCAAAATAATTATGTATGTTATGTTTATTCTATATGGCACTAATGCAGGTACAAAACAAATGATACATAACCAAACAACTATGCATGACGCCAACCTAACTTCAATCTCCTATGTAAATGTTTCATAACGTCTTCCATCTCGGGCCTCTCGGCCAAATTTAAATCTTCCTTCTTGTCAAAAATGTGACTGTACAGCTCCTTGGCATAAACCTTTTTCCAATTAGGTTTGTAAGTCTGTGGATCAAATTTCACCCACTCCGTGTAACGATAAGCGTTTGTTCTGATTGAATATCCCATTATCTTGATATCTTTTAAATGAGGCTTGTCGCTGTTTGGGTGTAGGGTGGGCTGCACACCTGGCCTTGGGTATTGTGTAAACACAGCCGACTTCTGACGAGCAACCTAGAAACAAAATCATTTATGGCGTTTTTCAGTCAAACTAAATTAAATATCTTGGCAATTTAATAATAATAATTAACGTCTTTTATTTGTAATATTCTTACAGGAGGCGAGATTTAGATTACATATCTATTCTACCATCTAACCCCCTTAACAATACGAGATGTAAAAAAAAAAGAATTTGTTGAAAATTAATAGGCACCTGTATACAATATCGAATAATCCAAGTAAATACATAAGGAAAATATGAGGACAATATGTGTTGCAACCGATTTCGCTGCTGATCAAGAAGAACTTCTTTCACTTTTTTCTTGAATTTGGATTGGTTTCTTTTAAACTGCGGTCTAAAAATTATATGATTTGATCGCATTGTAAATGTATGAATTCTGAAATAGATACGTGCTGTGGCGTGGAATTGAAAAAGTCTCTCTATATCTAATATTAATACGATGCATATTCCCTCTACTTATGAATTTGTTTACTAAATATGACGGTGTTTTTTAATAAAGACCCTTACGAGTCAGATTTACGAGCTGGTACTTATACATTTTATCAATTTTCATCCATTTTAGTTCATTAATGGCATTCGATATATGATCATATTTTCTGAGATCATTTACAAGCCTGCAACATGTATTCATAATACTTTGAATACGATTTCTTGTTATAATATCTAAATAGGGATAGTAAACTACTAAGCAATACGATATCTTTGAAAATACGAAATATTCACACAATTGCTTTCTCGCAGATTTATGTAATATAGCCTTATTTGCAAATAAAACTCTGAGAATAGCGTAGCACTGAGTAATTAGATAATTCACGTGTGCAACAAATTTTAAGTCATCATCCATTATAATACCTAGGTTTCTCGAATGATCCACAGGAATTAATATATTACCTTTTAAATGTATGTCTATGTCCTTTTTTAATGTATTCTTTTTTGTTCTATTTGCGTATACTAACATATTTGTCTTCAAAGGGTTCAAACGAAGATTATGACTACTACTGAACTTTTCAATTTGGGCAAGATCTTGATTAATTTTATTATTTGCCGTTTCCAAGTCATTGCTCCTAAATGAATGGAAAATTTGAGTATCATCTGCAAAAAATTGTTTGCTGCATGATTTTACCTCTGTTTCTGAATCTGAGATATATAATGAAAATAATAGCGGTCCTAAGACTGATCCCTGTGGTACACCAGAACAATTTTTTTGTTCCGTAGAGTACTGTTGATTTAGACGAACTTTGTGATACCGATTTTCAAGGTAGGTTTGAATAAACGAAAGAGGTTTTTCAGAAAATCCATAGTAACTGCATTTAGATACAAGAAGTGAGTGATTAATGGTGTCAAATGCTTTAGTAAAGTCAAGAAGTATGAGAGCTACTGCTTTTTGGTTATCAAGTGCCATTGTTATATTGTCTGTTAAATCACAGAGTGCCGAAGCTGTATTATGACCTTGTCGAAATCCAGATTGTTTAGATGGAATAATTTTGTTACAATATAAGTAGGCGCAGAGCTGCTCGTAAACAACGCGTTCCAATACTTTAGAAAAAATTGGCAGTAGACTGATCGGTCTCAGTTGACCATAGTTAGTGGGATCAAAACACTTAGGTAGCGGAATAACTATAGCGCGGTTCCACTGATTGGGAAAATATCCCCTCTCTAAACAGCAGTTTATAATATGCGTTAAGTACACATCAATTTCAGGTATACATAGTAGTATCATATGCAAAGTTATTTCATCTGTACCACTAGAATTTGATTTTATTTTATGTATAATTTTAACAACAGTGTCAATAGTCACTTTATTAAATTGAAATTTAATTTTGAGTTATTTTTATTAGCTCGGTAATATGCAATTTTATCAGCACAAGCCAAATCACTATTCTCGAAAATTGAAATGAATGCCTCATTTATTTTATACGGATCTGACAAGGTCACGGGAATTGTAGAATCTTTCTGAGATTGTACTTTGAAAGTCTTTTTAAATAAATAATCTCTTTTTCCTCTTCGCACGAGCGTTAATGAACGATTTCTGAAATATGTATACTGTTGCCAAGAGGAGGCTGTACGATCACGTTTGAACTTTGACAAAGCTCCAGCCCTCTGTTTGAATACAAGTTTAATATTATCATCCAACCAAGGAGCTGGAGCTTTGTTTACACGCACTACCTTTTTTGGACAGTGAACATTAAATAAACATAAAATACTATCTGTTAAAAAGTTAATTTTATCTTCAATGTCATCTATCGATATAATATGCCACCATGGAAAACTCTTGAGATCTTGTTCAAACGCTATTTCATTTAAACTATGGAAATCCCTGAATGTCACAAATTTCTGTTGATTTTTAGGAAGTGCAATACGTATATCACAGAAAGTTAAATAGTGATCAGTAATCATATCAGCATTAATAGTGCCACTCCTAAGACAACTTTCAGACTTGCTCAAATAAATAGGATCTAAGAGAGTGAGTGTCGATTCAGTTATCCTAGTCGGTTCAGATATCACCTGTTTCAGATTATAAGAATCAAGGCATTTAGTCAAGTTGTTACAAACTAAAAGCAAATTAACATTGATATCCCCTGCAAGAATGATATCATCATATTCAGCTAATATGGCAGGCAACATGTCATCAAAGGTATTACCGGCTTCTGTAACAGAGCTATGTGGGGGCCGATAGAATATACCAATAGCAATTTTTTGTTTTGGAAGCTGCACCTTCAACCATATACGAGTATATTCAAGACTTGGGCCTTGCCCAAATGAAATTATGGAAGAGTTGTAGTGGTTGTTTACAAAGACTGCAACCCCACCACCTCGCCCATCTCTATCACAGCGATAGCAGTTGTATCCATTCATTCTTATATGGTCATTAGATATATCTTTTGATAGCCACGTTTCCGATATTCCAACAATATCAAGGTTGTTGTTTTGAACCCGTATATTAAATTCATGAAATCCTGATAAAACTGATCTGCAGTTTATATGACCAAATTTTAAAACCTTGAATTTATCACTATTCATCTTCAATTCTAGATTTCAAGTATGTAACATGTTTTTTATAAGTTGGACAATCTAAGTCTTTAAAAGAATGACTAGTATTAAATTGAGTGTTGAATTTAGAATTGTGATTCATACAGTTTGAACAATTCTTAAAAGCAGATTTACAATTTTTTTCCAAATGATCTCCAGCACATAAAGGACATGATACTTTAGAATGTATGCAATTTTTTTCCATGTGGCCAAAACCTGAACATTTATAGCAGCGTATAATTCGTACATAATCCCGCACAGGACATCTTTGCCAACCCATGTATATATGACCTCTATCTAGCAACGTTTTTCTAAATTTTGGGCTAACCTCAATGACAACATTTAAAGTAGATTCAGAACATCTGAAAGTGGTTACAGTTTTTATATCATCACTACTGAAAATACCAAATTCATTCTGGGACAAGATCTTCTCGATTAATCCCTACACAAAATCTGAGGGATTAATCGAGAAAATCTTGTCCCAGAATGAATTTTGTATTTTCAGTAGTGATGATATAAAAACTGTAACCACTTTCAGATGTTAGGGTTATCATTATCAATGTTTTTGTTAACATAATTTAGAATCATCTTTTGGATTCAAGTCAGCGGCAGAGAAATAATTATCTTATCCCGTCCCTGCTCGACGATCACTCAAATCAACTAAAAGTTATCTGACATGTGAAGTTGCCACACGTTACGGTCAGACTTCCACCGTTCCGATATACAGGGTGGCCGATATGTAACTGACTGGTTTGTATCTTGAAGATTTGTGAAATGAAATAAAATACGTCCATTTATTGCATCTTAATCTTTTATTGAAACTTAGAAATTGTGTATGAAAAATAATATCGGACAAATGTCCGCCTATAGAAGCCGCGCAAACCTGAGTCCTCTTGATTACATTTTCCATCACTTTATGGTAGGTTTCGGGAGGAATAGTTTCAATCGCTTCCGTGATATCGTCCTGCAGCAGCTCTGCGGTATTTGGTTTGTTGGCAAAAACGCTATTTTTCAAAAATCCCCATAAAAAAGGTCAGGAGCCGTTAAATCCGGTGACCTTGGTGGCTAGTTGACATCACCAAATCGAGAAATTACACGTCTCGGAAATATTGTTCGCAAAGATTCATTGTTTCCCTAGCTATGTCACAAGTTGCTCCGGCTTGCTGGAACCACATGTTTTCCAGGTTAAACTGTTGGATTTGAGAAGCCAGAAAGTTTTGCACTACAACACGGTAGCGCTCGCCAGATACGACAATTCTGCTAATTAACAAATCCTGCAACTGTATTGTCGGCGACTTTCATGGTCACTAGGTTGTAGTTCTTGGGCTAACTGAATTTTGTATGGCCGAAAATGTATTTTTTTAAAATAGTGCATAATGACGTGCGACGAATACCCAGTTCTTGAGAACGATGTCTGCTAGACGTCTCAGGGCGCTTCACTACACTTTCACGTACTCTCTCAATATTTTCCGGAGTACGAACAGTTTGAACACGGCCCGACATGGCAAGTCTTTAACTTCACCTGTTTGTTCAAATTTCTGCACCAATTGACGAATGGTGTTGACACTGGGCACATTATTTTGACCGGAATCTTGGCATAGCTTCCGAATCGACTAAGTATTCAAGTAAAACGTTTCAACAATACGGACGCGTTATGGGATCGTGTAGCGCACTATGATGAATTGGACACATGTGCTTTAGACAACTACCTGTGCAACCACTTCGACGCTATCTACTGAAATGTGTGTATCAAAAATGGCGCCCAATTTAAATCAGTCAGTTATATCTTGGACACCTTTTATAATATTTAACGATTTTTAAGTATAAATGCGAGTGCAAAACGAATAAGAAATGCCTTTATTTTGTACAACATTTAGATAGAACATACAAAACAAAAGAATACATGTCACATTTCAATGTGTTATGTATTCTTGAAAATGGTTTTATGTTTAATCTGGCAACGGTGTATCGAACGACAATCATGGATTGCTGCAATTGACGTTATTCCGTGCTCCCACCATTTGTACCCGGTGCCCCCCTATCGTTGCATCAACTTCCACGTACTGAATATTCCCAAAACTATATAAAACTAGGCTGTTTTGAAAACAGTTTCAGGTTAATGTGAATTTAATTCTCTAGTATGTTGTGTATAGTACCATGTGTATTACCTGTAGTATTACACAGCTCATAAGGTGTAAAAATGCCAACATTGGTGTAGTGTTCCCACTCCAAACGTCATGTAAACTGACAAAGTGAGGGACTGGGGTCCCAGTAATAGAACGTCTCTCATCGCTAGAAGAGCAACACCGAGCCAGTGTTAAAATGTATACCCTATGGTGCTCTGTCTGTGTAATACTACTGGTAAAACATAGTATATGATTTTTTTAAGAAGCCAAAACTGATTATACATTATAAATTACAGACGTCATCGTCACGTCCAGTAAGTGACATATTATCGACGTCAACTGCAGATTTCTCGACATTTCATGACCAGTTTATAATGTCATTTTCATGTTCTGGTGCTATCTAGGCACTTGATTGTCGCTTTTAGTCACTAGTCGCTGCCTTTCCCTGACCTGCTAGCCAATCGGAGCGCGCGAATTTGACAAATGGCATTTGAATACACTTTAGCGACTTTTCGCTCATACAAATTATTCACACTCACTATGAAAGAGTCAAAACCAAAGTTGAAACACTATGAGAAAGTATTAAGAAACACAAATACTTTGCCTCCTATTGGTTAATATACCATTTTATATATTATCTTTCTCGGTGTAAGTGCGACGGTGACAGATTTTATGCATGAGCGCTATGCGACTAGCCTCGTGTTTCGGTCTCAGAGGCTTGGACGCAGTAGCTCTTTCCTGTCGCTTTCTCCACGAGGAAAGGCACCTTAACAGGGGCTCACCGGCGAACACCACCTGTACCAACGAATTCAAGGTAGAAGGAGCCAGGCAAAGGTTTGTTTGTCTCCTATTTCTCATAGTCTGTAGTGGGGATCAAAGTGCACTTGACATAAGCTAATTTTTTGACAGTTGTCATTAAATGAGTATATATCTAACCTTTCCCATCTTTTTGCATGCCATATATGGAGCCAAGCTTCTTCCTTCTGTACAAGCGATCTCATCAACGAGCTTAGAACAAATCGGCAAAGATTCCGCAACCTGTGTGAGATCCACCAGTGTTGGGAATAGATCTACAAGTTCTACTAACGCGTCTGATATGATTTCGCCTGTCGATAAGCCTGGTACGTGGATAATCAATGGGACTTTGGTGGCCTCATCATAGTTGCTGAACTTTGAAAACTCGCCGTGTTCTCCCCTAGACCAGCCTGTAAAATAGAAAAGAGATATCGTTATACACAGAATTTTCGAGTCATCAAACTAAAAATAATCAGACCAAGGTAGCTTCATGATTATCATCCACAAACTGGAAAACAATATCAGCAATAGCTATAATTATGGAACATGACGTGTTTCTAATTTGGTTTTGCGATTGAAAAACAGTTTTACTCAGTAATTATCATAAACGATCATACAAAAAAGTTGTCGGGAAGACGATTTATAACCATACGGACTGGACTATAACTTGTGATTCACCGGACGGTGTCCGTTTACTGTCTTCCTTCCGCCATCTCTGCGTATATTTATTCCCCTATCGACGATTCGAGAAATACTCCAGCGTTTATTTCCAAGCCGAGTCGAGAATATTAATGGAAGTGGTCTAGATGGCAGTAGATTCATCTCGATGACACCGAACACTCTTGAACGTGAACTCGATCGCTCTCGATGCACGGTCGCATGATTTGTTGCCTAAGCGTCGACGTTCCCCGAACCGTAGCGAATCTTCTGGTCGATGTGCTCAAAATTATATACCGCTACCGACATATCGGCCTATCAGCCGTTCGTCTGTTTATTTGCGTCATCGGGTTTGTTGCGATTGGGCCACAAGCGCGTCTATGCAAATCATAATATTTGCTTGAACGGCGTTGGTTGCATTAGATTTAGTACTGTACAAAAATGTCAAACATAAGGAAAAGTAGCGTTCTTTATAAATATTTTGATAGAGTTTCCGATCGGCGGACTAACGACTAATATATACTTCACGAGAGATGTTCTGGCAGACATATAAACATTCTGCAGGTGAAGGGACATCTGGGTATTCCCAAAGAAAATGGGAACATGAATCAGTAAATACACTATATCAATGCGAACACCAATCTACCGGTGATTGTAAGATTTGACAATCCTGTCCAGTGGTGGAATGATAATAAATTACGATTTGCCAAACTTTTCCCACTAGTTGCCGTACATTTGTCGGCACCAGCTGGAAGTGTAGCGAGTGAACAAGTTCTTTCTAAGACAGGCAACATTTATGATGCCAGACGAAGCAGGTTAACACCTGAGAGGGCAGAAACTTTATTAATCCTACACCACAATCTGCTTAAGTTAATTTTTAACTATTAAATATTTTAATTTACATAGCTCTTGAAGCTTCAGTCTGCTATAGTATTTTTCATCTTTAGTATTGCATTTACTCATTTTTCACCGTTTCCCAAGCATATTTTTCAAGATTTCGTGATTAACACTTTTTTATAGATATCTGTTTTTAGCCCCCTAATCCAGCACTGTCACGAAATCCGTTCTGACGTGTCCTGTCCATAAAGTACCCCTCTGCTAAATTTCATGATCATAGATCAAATAGTTTTCGAGGTATATTTCTATAAACTTAAGTCTTCCCTATAGTCCAACTTCCTTCCAGCCCATCTTAAAGAAATGATTTTTGGAATTTTTTATTTTAGACAAAACATACTCTTACTTGTAGGCTAGCCTTTCTTTGTAGGTACCCATTTACATTATATCAAAGAATCAAATATACTAAACTAATATTTATAACTCTAGTTTACGGCTCCCCATATTTAAGTCCTTTTAAGTTTTATTTTCACAATGAAAGGTACGTCGCTCTCTAATGTTCCAATCTACATCTATGCTAAATTTCATCAAAATCGGGACAGCTGTTTTGGCGTGAAAACGGCGCATACTTGTACATACATACAAACAAACACACTTTCGCATTAATAATCAAGATGCAGTAAATGTACAAACTTATCTTACTGATTTAACTCGGACCAGCGACAGAATGCTTCCTCATGTCATGGATACGAGTCGACCACTGACTTCAGGGGTCAGCTTTGCCACCTCTCAGACTGTTGTTACGGTTACGAGAACACAAAACTTAGGTATGACAAGTGAGGTTAAAGGGTAAATGGCGTCCTCTTTATCCCTTCTAAGAGAATTACTGCGATATCCTACTCAGCAACATGACTGTGACGATGTAAAGTTGTATATAAATTTTCAAATACACCAACATGGGGTTGGGCACCTCCTTGGTGGATATGTTAAATTCAAACGCGGAGACACCAGTTAGATGTCTTGGAGGATTTTCGAGTCTTTTGCTTGCGGCTGGTGGAAGTACATTTCTATAATAATCACAATGCTTCCCTAGTTAGCACATTTGTATCATGGTATAGATCTGGATACCATTAATCTAACTCAGAGATTCTCACACTTATTTCGGGAGGAAAAAATTCGATAAAATCCGACTCGAGCCCTTATTTCTTTTACTGCCCACTTTGAGAATAAAGCATTCCCCAAAATTCTTTAAGAAGTCCGACTATTGATTATTGAAGAACGGGTGGTGATTAGCGGCGTTGATTTGCTGGATGAGTGCTGCTTCTGATAACAAATGCCCTCATAACAACTGAACAGCTGGAGGTAGTATCAACAACTGAACATTGTTGAGCAGAATGGGGGTTTAAACAAGATGTTTTCGTCCGTCCGTCCGATCAAGAAAAAATACCATGCTGATGAGTAGCTAAGAAGTACGAAACAGCTGCCCATGGTTGGCTGTCTTCTTTTCTTGGTCGGACGGACGAAAGCATCTTGTTCGACCTGTTCAATGGGAAGTAGGCCACTTCTACATTCAGCCAAAATCATCAGCCATCCAGCGGCACGGCTATAAAACGGTAACTGAGATTCATCACAGTTCAAACTAAGGGCCCTATTTCACCGGGACACCATGGCGGCGCAACCAGTCGCACAACCGTGCTGTCTTGAAGCTACCAAACCCGAGACACCGACTACGGCCACAGTATCAAAATGAACGTCGAAGAGTTAGCACTGTCGCTGTATATACGAAGGAAAAGAAAGTTAAAAAGTAAAAGAAAACAGTGGTGGATTCATCCTTACTTAGCCGATCGTCCTAAGAAAGGACAATTTATCAACATTTACGAAGATCTGAGAAGATATCCAGATAAGTTTTTTAACTATGTCAGAATGTCCATGAGGTCCTTTGACGAGTTATTGACTCTGTGCAGATATGATTTATTGAAACAAGATACAATATTAAGAAAGTCTGTCAGTCCCGAAGAAAAGTTATTTGTAACATTAAGGTAAGTTAAAACAAATAATGAACTTTTTTAGTAGGTAAGTTTTATTAAAGAATGTAACTGAACAAACAATTCACGAACATTTTTTTGGAGTTAGTTACTACAATTTTGAATGTTAAACAGTTCCATATATGGTTCCGAGTCCAGTGAATCAGGTGTATCACTTGGAGAACTTGTATACATTATTGTATTCATAGAATTATATCCAGGACTATTTGTAATAGTTTCAGTCGGATAATTCGTGGTGCGCGGTTACGTCGAAGAACCAGGATGATAGTTGCCTTGACTAACCAGTCTACCACCTGAATTAGCTTGTTAACCCTTTCCAGCCCAGCGACTCCAATTGGAATATACGTAGTCATGCCATAAGTTCTGTCCCTCGTTTTCAAACAAGTGTAGACCTGTTAATACTTGTCCGATTGTTTACATTGTGGTGTCAGTTGATTAAGCGCTTTTCGGGTAATTACATATACCTCAGTTTGTATTGATCTCTCGAAGCATAACGATGGAGTGGGGCAAGGCAGAGAACCGTATTGCAGTGATAGCTTTACATAAGTGTAATCACAGTGCTAGTCAGATTTTTGAACTCTTACGCGGCCTTCAAATATCGCGTAAATTTGTGTCTAGGACCATTCAGCGGTACAATGAGACGTCCTCTGTTGATGACAGGCCAAGAAGCGGAAGACCTCGTCAAGTAAGGACTCCAGCAGCCATCAAAGCCGTAAAAGCCAGGATTCAAAGGAATCCACTCCGGAAGCAGAAGATCCTATCCAGGGAAATGAAGATTCCTGTCCGGACGATGTCGCGCATCATTAAACAAGACCTAGGGCTAGGGGCTTACCGGAGACGTACGGGCCAGCGACTTACGGCCACCTTGCGACACATCAGGGCGACAAGATCCAAGAAGCTCTTGGAGAGGTACGCAGCTGGGGGATTCCGAAAGATTTTGTTCACGGATGAGAAAATCTTCACCATAGAAGAAAAATTCAACCGACAAAATGACAAAGTGTATGCAAGGAGTTCACAGGAAGCTTCGGAGATCATTCCGAGAGTTGAGAGAGGCCACCACCCTGCGTCAGTCATGGTTTGGTGGGGGGTGTCCTACGAAGGGGTCACTCAGCTCCATTTCTGTAAACAGGGCGTGAAAACAAAAGCGGCAAACTATCAGAGCGACATACTGGATCCTATCGTCAAGCCTTTAAGTGGTACATTGTTTGCCAACCAACACTGGGTCTACCAGCAGGATTCCGCCCCCGCTCACAAGGCTAAGAGTACGCAGCGCTGGCTGGAAAGCAATGTGCCAGAGTTCATTGCTGCGGAAGATTGGCCCTCAGGGAGTCCGGACCTCAATCCTTTAGACTACAAGTTGTGGGACCTGCTAGAGCAGTTGGCCTGCTCCAAAGCCCACCGTAATATCGAGTCCCTGAAAGCGGATTTGATCCGATCAGCGGCAGCTATTCCTTTGGAAGCTGTGCGTGCAGTGATAGATGAGTGGCCCGCGAGATTGAAGCAGTGTGTGAAGGCCAAGGGGGGACATTTTGAATAAAACTGTTTGATTATGAATTCTAAAAATGTTGTCGAATAAATAATATCTTTCATATAAATATATCTTATCTTGTTTCATTTTTATCATGAGATTATCATGGGACAGAACTTATGGCACGACTACGTATTGCCTAAAGCCACGACAGAAAACTTAAAATAAATAGAAATAGAAATCCCAGGCAATATATTATAGCCAATAGATCACAGATGGCGACACGCATACCAGTTTGTGAAATATCGATTGACATTTCGATTTTTAGGTTAATTCAAAGTTTACAGTATTGTGTGTAATAATTATTGTTTGTTCTTGAATAAAATCAAGGTAAGTTTATATTTTATGTGTTTAATATTAATACAAATAGCATTATTAGGTCATTAGTAATACAAAATGAGGTTTTTATTGAAATCATAGTAAAATTGTTGAAACTATGTACTTGAATGTTATGATGCCAAATGGAATCAGTGTTCCTAACGCCACTTTAATAATGATTCCAATTGGCGTCAGTGGGCCACTGTAATCTACTATTTTCATATTTTGAATATTTCAGATGCCGACCGTAGGTCGGTGCGTAGGACTTACGGAAGAGGAAGAAAAACACTTGCTGATGTTGCTACAAGGGGACGAGTCGATTTGGATTGTGTAACCGACAACGATGAAGATGATTTCGATCAAGAAACGTTCCTTCGATTACAAGAGGAATATGATCCTTATCCTCCAGAACCTTCTCCAGAAGAACTAGTGTTATCTAATTCTAACTTAGAAGTGGACACAGATAAACTATCTGATGAAAATGGACATGAACCTAACAGACAAATGCAACAAGACTTTGACCCTGAAGACGATTTACCTATTATTACGTTTCGGAACCAGCACCCAACGCCTGCTGTACAAATTGCTCCAAAGTGGAAAAAAGCAGATCTTCCTTTCGTAAATTCTGAATGTAAAGTAATATTTACTAACGAAAAGGAAAATGATTCAACTCCGCTGTCATATTTCAAGCTATTTTTTGATGACAATTTAATTCAACATATTACTGATCAAACAAATTTGTATTCTACACAACAAACGGGGGCATGTATCAACACCACATTCACAGAAATCTCTCAATTCCTTGGAATAAATATTATGTCTGGTATAGTCAGGATGCCTAGCTATCGAATGTATTGGGCACAAGAAACTCGTTATTCACCTATAGCTGATACTATGTCGAGAGACAGATTTGATAAACTAAGAACTCAAATCCATTGCAATGACAATACAAATATGTTGACCCATGATCACCCAGATTATGACAAACTTTTTAAAATACGACCTGTCATAGATGCCCTAAAATTAAATATGTCCAAAATTGAGCAAGAAGAATACAATTCGGTAGACGAAATCATGGTGCCGTTCAAGGGAAGGAGTTCCCTCAAACAGTTTATTCGGAATAAACCGCATAAATGGGGAATAAAGATATTTGCTAGAGCTGGAATCAGCGGTATTATCTATGATTTTGAAATATACAGGGGAAAAGGGACCGTGAAAGAGACTAATCTTGGAATCAGTGGTGACATTGTCATTAGACTTGTAGAGACATTACCCAGAAACATAAATTATAAAGTTTTTACAGATAATTGGTTCACGTCTTATAAATTATTCTGTGAACTTAAAAAGCTGGGAATATTTGCATCTGGAACCGTAAGGATTGCCAGACTGCCTGGATGTCAAATGAAAAGTGATGCGGAGTTGAAAAAAGAAGGACGTGGTTCGTTTGATTTTTGCACAGAGAAGAATGAAAATATATTTGCCGTCAAATGGTTTGACAATAAAACAGTGCATGTCGTCTCAACTTATATAGGCCTGCAGCCTATAGAAAATGTCAAAAGATGGTCTTCATCAGAGAAAAAGTTCATTGATCTCCCTCAACCGTATGCTATCCAAATATACAACAAATACATGGGTGGCGTTGATTTAAATGACATGCTCGTCTCCTTGTACCGAATCAAAATAGGTGTTAGACGTTATTATTTACGAATAATTTACCATCTAATAGATATTTGCATCGTCAACGCATGGCTCTTGTACAGGAGGGACTGTTCAGCAAGAGGAATCAAAAAATATAAACGACTGGTCACTTTCAGAGCTGAAGTTGCACATGCAATGTTGCAACAGAATGCACCATTACGGCGAAGAGGACGCCCGTCGGATGCAGAAGTTGAACAGCCTCCACGAAAACGACCTGTTGTGCCCAGACCGATAGATGATGTGAGATTTGATGGATTTTCTCACTGGCCAGAACACATAGAACCAAAGCAGAGATGTAGGAATTGCATCAAATCGTATGCGAGAATTTCTTGAATGAAATGCAACATGCCTCTATGTTTGTCAACGGAAAAAAATTGTTTTATTAAATTCCATAATCAGTAATTTTAAATGTTTACTACTCTTACTACTCTTTTGTTATAACTAAAATTAAATCTAAAATAAACCATTATCAATTTACATTTTTCTTATCTTACGCCCACTGATTCCAAATGGAGTCATCATTTTTTCTCCTAAAAAAAATTGTTTTCAGAAAAAAACATTTTTACCGTAATTTTTAGACCATAATTACACACAAAAAGACAAAATTTTTTTTTTTTTTTTGGTAAAAAAAAATTGGGCTTGAAAGGGTTAAGTATGCCGAAATGAACGATCAGCATAATCAAACGTCCTGTAACCAGAATAATCTGACGTAGTATCTTCTCTGATGTCTCACGTTGTCTCTGCTCAATAGAATTATTTAGAGCTCGTACAAAGGGATCATCATCTTCAGCCAATTGCCGTTTACGTTTGATGGTAGCTTTTTCTTTAGGACGCTCACGTACTTCAGTGCTCTCCAAATTTTCTCCTTCGTCATCTTCTTTTTCTCTGATAGCTACTACTTTTTGTAGAAACTGCAACTGCTTAAAGTATATGTATTCGCTTTTGCGGTTAGTGGCTCAAGAACCAGACTTTAAATTTTTTTGTCTTTTGACTTCCCGAGCATAGCATGATCTTATACTTTTCCACCTTTTTTGCAACACCAAACCTGAAAAGAAATGATTAGTAGTTAGTATTTCTCTGAATTTAACTTATGGTGTGTTTTTTCTTGGGATTTATTTTAGTACCAATCAATTATTTATTAATAAAAAAACATATATTTATATATTATATAAAACATATATTTCTCTGAATTACAGGTACTTCGCTAGTGGATGTACAATGAGGGAATTGCATTACAATTATCGTCTAGGATAAACAACTTTAAGCACAATAATTAGAGAAGTGTGTGCCGTGATTTGGGATAAGTTGCAAACATGATTATCACTTCCAGCCTCTGCAAGTGACTGGATCAAAACAGCAGATGGTTTCGAAAAGCATGCGAACTTTCCACACTGCCTGGGTAGTATCGATGGGAAGCACATTAGACTGATTCAACCTGCTGATTCTGGTTCATTTATATTATAACTATAAACACTTTTTTTCCATAGTGCTGCTTGCTGTATGTGACGCTAATTATAATTTTATGTACATAGACGTAGGTGCCTATGGGAAAAGTAGTGATTCAGCAATACTCCAAGAAACTGACTTTTATAAGAAGCTCATGAGCCATACTTTAAATATTCCAGAGCAACTTCAAATTTCGGAAAATTGCTCAACGCTTTTTCCTTACGTATTTGTAGGCGACGAAGCATTCGGGTTGAGCACAAATGTCATGCGCCCATTTGGAGGAAACAACCTCAGCGTCGACAAAAAAATTTTCAACTACAGACTGTCGAGAGCGCGGCGTTACATCGAGTGCACTTTTGGAATTTTAACGAACAAATGGAGAATTTTCAACAGACCATTGAATGTCCACACCGAATTAGCAAAATCAATTGTGAGAACATGTTGTGTCTTGCATAATTTTGTGCGTGCTAGAGATGGGTATTCATATGATGATACTCTGACAGTAACCGGTTTTGAAACTATAACACAGCGAAATTTTACTAGAGGAGGACGTGCTGCTACCACAACTCGAGATAACTTCATGAATTATTTTGTAAATGAAAACCCACTTTCATGCAGCGGCGGTTCGTGGACTATGATACAGGGGGTTCACAAGTGGTATAAAATAATTTTTTTGCCACCACCAAAATTTTTATGTAATGCGTTCTAGAAGGCAATAAGAGTACTAAAACAAGCATCAAGGACACGTTTTTTGTTATTTTTTTTATTATACACAAGAAAATACATTTATAAAAAATACAATTTTTTTAATGAGTACAGTGTTTAAACGTAAAGTCCATTCTCCTGATTTTATTTGCAGAAAATTTATCAATAACTAACATGTTAAAGTTTGGAATACCCGCTATACATTTTTTCTCGATAGATAGCATTACTAGCGCTGACAGTCTTTCTTCATTCATAGAACTTCGCAAAAATGTTTTTATTCTCTTCAATGTCGAAAAGCATCTTTCACTTTCGGTCGTAGTCATTGGTATGGTAACAATTATTTGTAAAAGTGTAAAGGTGGCAGAAAATATGCTCTGAAGATTATTTTCTATAAAAAACTGTAACAAACTAATGGCACCAGTCATATTCCTGAAGTCAGGTCGCCGGTAAATTAATTCCAATTCAGTCTGGAGACGAACTTCATCTAAAAACGAATATGCTTCTACTACAGTTTCCAAATATTGCAATGGAAAATGCTTTTCAAATTGTGGAAATTTATCAGAAGAAAGAAGAATAGCTGCATTTAAATGTTTTGTAAAAGAAAATCTATCTGTTACATGTGTAATTATGGTATCACAAACTTCCTTGGCTGCAACAGCTCTGCAAATATGCTGGTCTTCATTTGCACGACGCTTTTTAGTTTGAGTAGTAGTGGTATCTTCAGAAATCTCAGTTTCAATCGTTTCCAAGCAGTCTCTATCTTTTTGGATGCAGTTTTCAAAACACTTTATGGCAGTCTGAATTTGCACTGGGTCAGTCACTGTTTTTTGTAACTGATTATATAAAATATCAGCATGTGGCAATATTCGATGAAATACAGTTAGCCAGAACACAAACTTAGAATCTTGTAGCATACGGCCAATACCAGCGACTTGATTGATGGTAACAGTTTGTTTTGAAGTAGCTTCTATTTTTTCCATGCATTCTATTAACAATTCGCGATATTCATATACTGTATTTATAGATCTGCTTTTAAAGTTCCATCTTGTAACAGAAGACCTAGGAACTCTTGCACCAACAATGTCATCCAAAACTGCAACTCGTTGTGGAGAATGAGAAAAAAAAGTTGAAATATCGCTTAAATTTGAAAAAAATACCAGTACTTCTTGATTTTGGCTTGTAGCTTGCAATAAAATCAAATTTAGCTTGTGGGCATAACAATGAACGAAATAAGCATAAATATAATCACGTTGAATAAGAGCTTGAACACCTCCACGACGTCCACTCATTACACTAGCGCCGTCATAACTTTGAGCTATCAGTTTCTCTGGTTTATCTAGCACTTGTATTAAATTAGTTCTCACACATTCTGAGAGACTAACTGCATCGTGGTCAGGGGGGGTAACAAAATTCCAAAAACGTTCAACTGGCCTTCCATCTGGTAGAATGTACCTAAATACTGTAGTCATTTGATAACAATTAGCTACATCCGTTGTTTCGTCAGCCATAACAGCAACAAATTCAGCTTCCAAAATTTCTTTTCTTATATTTTCCTGAGCCACTTGTAACATGCAATCTAACAATTCGTTTTGAATGATTTTTGATACCCCTTTGAATACTGTCGATTTTTCAAAATGATCTTTAAGTGCTATATCTAATTCGGCAGTGAAATTTATTAAACCTCTAAAAATACCAGGATTTGATGAACCATCTTTTTCGTCGTGACCGCGGAGGGCTAATTCAAAAGCTCCGCAAAATTTCATGCAATCAATAATTTTTGAAAGCACATACCTATTCTTTCTAACTTGTTCATTTTGCTGTTGAATACTGCGCCTATATGCACTGTCCAACTGCTGCCGTATATCTACTTTTCCAAAAGCTGCATTTCCAGTTGCGCATTGATATGGACTTGAGTGTTTTCATGTTTCTAAATTTTTTGAGCTAAATGTCCCAAGGTGGCTATTCCATTTTTTGTCCAGGCAGGCTCTGCAACCCCGTGACCAAACAACAAACAGGAAAAACAAAACAAACGGTTTGTTGTGCTGCATCCACAAATCCAGTTATTCTTTTCATATATTTCCATTTTAAACTTTCTAATAAAGTTTCTAGATTTACCCTTTGTGGTCTGAGTTAAGTTAATTTCTGGTGTAGGTCTTCCCGCATTTTTTATTTCAATTTTTTGCTCCAAACTCAATGAACTGAAGTTATGTTTCAAATATTCCACAGTGAAACCATTCATTTTAACTCAATATTTTATTAAAACACTGCTACGAACATAAAAATTCGAACACACCTCCGATTACTGTATAAAATGCACGCGCAACGGACAATGGCGCACTCCAGAAGTGTGCGCCTTCTCCAACTAAAATTGCCATAACCCCGCTATACCCCGCAACCAGAACAGCAGGGTGAGAAACACACTAATCCCGCGTACATGATCGCATATGCGACTATTCGTCGTCATCCGCCGTCACCCGTCGGCGGCAGTCGGACCGGGCCAGACCGAATCACAAGTCGGAATCGCCCGAATCAGGCAGCGCAGCGGTATGAGTGGTGACTCACCAGTGGAGAGCTACTACATAGATCTTTGATTTTATACGATTAAATATCAGGGAGGCTCAGACTTTATTTGAGAAATTATTAAATGGATGTTATACATATTTATTATTATTTATTTTGGGGGTGCACGTGCTCATGTGCTCCTACAGTGGAACCGCCACTGCTTTCATGGCAAAATAATTGTATTAATTAATAAAAATATAATATTCCTTACTTACCTAAGTCTTTTTTTTGTTCAACTGTTTGTCCCTCTCCTCCATATAAATCTACAATTTCTTCCCAACATTTCTTCTTCAAATCTCTATTAGAGTAATCGGCTGAGGAACTATCCCAAATTGATGGTCTATTTTGAATATCAATAATAAATTTTTCAGTATCGAAATTATCCATCATGCAGGTTTGCAAACTAAAAAGCAAATGAGTTGACATATTCAGAATTATCGCGTCGTTAGCAGCGCGACTGGCGGCCGAATGAGTGAAACACCATAGAGCCCAATACGAAGTAGTGGTGGTGCGACCAGCTTGGCGGAGCTGCCAGTAATCTTTCGAGCACACGTAGTGTTGGTCGCTCCGCCAAACTGGTTGCGCAACCAAGCGGACACCAGGTGAGATACTCTCCATAGAGCTCTATATGTTTTGTTGGTAGCGACGACCGGTTGCGCCGCCATGGTGTCCCGGTGAAATAGGGCCCTAATAGCAGCGGTGCGCGATCCACAATTGTTCGATTCTGGTGCGATAGATGGCGCTTCGCGCTATCAAATGCCCCAGATTATATCATGCTGAATGGGGGTCGTCTGCATCAGTGCTTCTGAGACCGAATGTCCCTGTGAGAACTGACAAGCAGAGAACAAATATTATCCATTGTATTGCTCTCCAATCAATTCATTACCCCCCATTTTACGAGTATCCATCACGCTTTGACGTCTACTGAGGTGAGGTAAGAGCTGATCAGCAAGTGACATTTTTGTGTTAGACTGCAATGTTGACAATAATTGTAGTATTTTGTTTTTAGTATGCGAATTAACTTTTCTAAGTTAAAGAGCTGTTAGCAAGTACAAAATGAATCTGTAGTGTACAAATAAACAAAACACAATATGGCTCCGACTACCTGACGTTGTCGGATCCGTCAAAATTATGTGTCCTGTGCCGATATGGGGAATTTTGAGATATTACTAGACAATCAGCTGCCATTCTACCGTGATGGATACTCGTGAAATAGGGTATCCGCCAACGCCAGATAGACAGAGCCAAATTTTGTTTTGTTTTCTTGTACGCTACAGATTCAGTTTGTACTTGTTAACAGCTCTTTTATTTAGAAAATTTCATTTGCATAAAAAAAAAGAAAACGCCACAAACAAGTTTTACTAGATTTATACCTGATTCATTATTGCCAATGTTGCAGACTAACACAAAAATGCCGCTTGCTGATCACCTGTTCACCTCAGTAGACGTCGAAAGCATGATGGATATGTACTCGTGAAATAGAGCATATAGTGTTTCCATTTCATAATACTTACCTTAATCATATCATCAACAGTTGTAGAATGTTCATTTCTATTGAAAAATACCATATCATCTCAAAATAAATGGTTGGATATGGCATTTTTAAGCATGGAAGTATGTTCATACTACCAAAATCATCATTTTAATGTAAGAAAACATCTAAACACCATTGTGTATAAGAAACCAAATAATGATCAAAACTCACCATGATCTGCAGTGAGTATCACAATCGTGTTTGGATCCACATGCACTAACAGTTGTCCAATCAAATCATCAACATAGGTAGTAGCAGCATTATATGCCTGGATTATTTTTCTTGACATGTGATCAGGCATCGGTCCAAAAGGAAAAGACACATTGAGTAACTCAATGTCATGTCTGAGTCTAATGTCTGTCCACGGATTCCAGGCTACTAGAGGTAATGAGGATGGTCTATCTTTGTTTGTTGGTAGAGATACATTTTTGATTGGGTGATAATCTAGAAAGGAGAACATAAAATTGGTAAGCAGTATATTCAGCATGTGAGCAATGACAAGAAAATCATCGATAATGTAGTGCTAAAAGTGTGAACAATTCAACTGTCAAGAGATTTGAATGTATGACTCTAATATTCAATATTGGTGTGTCTGCCATTTATGTCATGGTAATGTAAGCAGACATGCTACTCTTAGTTCAAAAAGAAATTACTTTTATAGTTTAAATAGACTTGATAAGTTACCTAAATATTTAAATGGAAACTTGAATGGCACATGAGGTTTATGAAACCCAACAGCCAAAAAATATGGTTTGGTAGCATTTCTTCTATATTCCAAGTACCTTACTGCTTCATTCAAAGACTCGATGTCTGGCAAAGTGCCATCAGGTTGTGATTCAATTATCACAGGGCATATGAGATTCTTCACTAAGCTTCCATTTTGGTCCACACATACTGGAGAATTCATAAACTGTTCGGTTTTTGGATGAAATGTAGGTGTGCTCCAACTGTATGGATAATCATCAGTGAAATTTGAGGACTTCCCAGGGTGAAAAACTTTTCCTATTGAGTAGGTGTGATAACCGTTTTCTCTGAAATATTGTGGGATAGTGGTGAAGTTTCCTACAGTTGATCTCCAGTAACTGTAGAAGTCATACAGATGTAGTGAATTAGGTCTCCTACTGGTCAGTAAGGAGTTTCTGCTTGGAGCACATAGTGCTTGCTGAAAATATCAAGATGCCTACTTAAGGATATAATTTTAAGCAAATCCCAAAATGTTCCAATACACTTTTGTGCTTTCACTGGGATGGAGATCTACTTACCTGTGCAAATACATTCCGGAAAACAAATGATTTCTCAGACAATCTATCAATATTTGGTGTATATGCATTTCTATCACCAAAACATCTAAGCGATGGTTTTAAATCATCCACAATAATTAGCAAAACGTTGGGTTTTGCACAATTCCCAAGTTCTAATTTTACCAATAACAAAAATATAACTACCGTTATCGGTGGCATGCTTACAAATTATTTGTACTGCACGAGTTTTATCTAACATTTTATGAATGTTGTCAAAGACGGGTTAACGTGTTATGATAAATGTGCTGCTAAGAAAAATGGGGGAAATTCATGAAAATCCGCCAGGAATGAGCCACTAAGGAGCCAGTCACCCGACTGCGAACTGTATAAGTCGGTCAAATTAAGTAATCCTGTTCTGAATTCAACACAAGAATAAATGACAGGGTTTTAGTTTAAAGATAAATTTTACATTTTCCGGATCTCTTAGTTCAAAAGAGGCTACCAGGTCACGTAATCAATTCATAATCTGTTGTTTCATTTCATACATGTATTGAAAAAAATGTAATTTTTTTGGATGATGAAACTCTTTAAGAACCCAACTGTTCATCATGTGATATCACATAAAATACAAAATGTTTTATTTTATCAAAGCGTCCCCTTCCGTACAGTATATTTTTCAACCAAAAAATCTATAATCTGAGACACTAAAGAAAAAGAAACCGAAAATATAAACTACTAAAATCATTTCTCTATCTACAATTCCTGGGCTATGATGGTGCTGCTACCAAAGGAGGGGGAGATTGTTTTGTTTTTGTCCTTGCCAGAGTTCGCTATTCGACCAGCTGATTTGTGTCTGTCGTTGAGAGTTGTGTTGTGTAGTTGGTCAACAAAGATATAAATTTCCATTTTATAAGCTCCTACAATTTACCCACAACATAATTAGTTAATAATATAGTGCCGTGATCGACTTTCCTAGGCGATCAGGTACTAATCGTGTATATTTTGATCAGTATTGCAATTCAAAATATGACGTCAGTCTGTGGTCTTTATGGATGAAATGACGCAGTAGCAGAATAAAATAAAAATAACAAAAAATGGTAATAGGTGGTTGAAAATCAGGTAAGCTCCGCTTATGTCGATATTTGAGATTTTCGTAGAATGTAAATTGTGAAATGGTTCAACGATTGCAATGTCGTATTGTCGTGTCCTTCGAAACACGTAACTTCTACCTTCTACCCACACCCTTTGTTGCTTTGTTTGCCTTTGCATCTCGAGCCTCGGGCATTCTTTTCCGATGCTATTGTCCTTCGTTCTTGAGTAGGTAGTTTTCGAATTTTGGCGTTGAAAATAAGGATGAATTTTACTTTTGATTGTGTATGTAGTTGACAAAAAAACAAAACAGGATCATGTTACAATCATAGTTGCCTTGTTCCAAACAAAAATAGAAATCTGTGTTTATGCAATATGTTTGTAAATAAACAGGTTGAATAAATTATAACTGGAGTTGCTTTTTAGCAAAGAATATAAATTTGTATGAATTTCAACATTATTCTGGAGTAATTGTATGTCTTTTTTTACTTAATACTTTTTCTATTCATTCCTAATAATCAGTAGAATATAAAAACTCTACCTGGCATTTTTTTAAAAGAAATGTTATCATGAAAAACTTGTCCATAAGTAAAACCTATTGTGAGACAGAGATTCTAGAAAGAGGAGGAGTGGCTTCACCTCAATATCTTTACCTGAGAGTGAACAAGAGGTCCCTGATTTTCCAGGTTGGCCATTTAAATAAAGAGGTAGTATGTTTTGTTCTAGCACATAATTATAAATGAAATGTAATGCTTCTTAGATAAAAACAGTGATTCTTTTAAACACAAAGCAATTTTTTAAAACAGGTAACAAACATTAAATACTATCAAGAATTATACTTACAGTAAGTGTAGAAAGTATTCGTACACTTGGATTTCTAAGCGAAAGACTGCAATGTCTCTCTAATTATTGTTGCTAGACATCTGCAAAAAAATAGACATCTACATCAAAGTATTCTTTATTCAATCTGGTCAATCATTCGAAAACAAAACAAAATAGTCTCTAAAGGAAATAACAACTCACAAAAATCTACCAAGAAGGCGAAAAAAAAGTATTCGTACACATGTGATTTTTCGTCATAAATTGTCAGTCTTGATACATGATACATGAACATCACAACAATTTAGTACTTGGTTGGGTACCCCTTTTCTTTCAAAACACTCTCATACCGTTTTGGCACGGAGTCTATCAGCTTAGACGTCAGTGAAGGGGGTATGCAGTTCCACTCGGTCAGTAAAGCAGTTTCAGATCCCCTCTGTTAGAGATCTGCCAATTTTCCCTTATTTTTGTCTCTAGTTAACTCCATAAATGTTCTATGGGGTTCAAGTCCGGTGATTGGGTGGGGTATTTAGCTGCTTGGGGGTGTTGTACAGCAGCCACATCTTCTTATTTGTTGCGGTATGTTTTGGGTCGTTGTCTTGCTGAAAGATATAGTCATTTCCTAAACCCATTTTAATCGCACTTTCTTTCAAATTTTGCTTCAATGGCTCTATATACTTCTTGTGGTCCATGATGCCATCGATGAAAGCTAAATTACCCACCCCAGAAGCACTCATGCAACCCCACACTAAAACAGATCCACCACCGTGTTTTACAGTGGCACACAAATTCTCGGGAGAAAGATCTGTATTTTTCTTGCGCCACACTTTTTTGTTACCATCTGAACCAAAAATGTTATATTTACTCTCATCTGAGTAAATAGTCTTATTTCTGAACTCTGCAGTGTCATTTAGGTGCCCCTTGCAGAAGGCGATACGCTTGGCTCTGTTGACTTTGCTTACCCACGGCTTCTTCCGGGGCGTGCACCCGCGATACCCCTCGCTCCTCAACATGTTGCGCACTGTCGCGATGGACACCTTGGTCCCCCTCTGTGACAGGTCAGCTACAATCTTCGGCGCACTCACTTTTGGGTTCTTTTTGATTGTCCGTACAATCACTCTCTTGTCCTGCTCGCTCAAAACTTTGGGTCGTCCACTCCTGGCCTTGTTTACCAACGTTTTGGTTTCACAGTACCGATCAATTACTGTTTGTACAGTCGACCGGGGTTGTCCCACTAACTTTGATATAGCACCTATCGACTTGCACTGGTTATGGAGCCTTAAAATTAACTTTCGCTCCTCTAAACACGTTTCTTTGCCTTTGCGGCCCATGTTTACAGCACAGAATCTGAAACTGAGCAACCTAGGGAGTAGTATCGTCTACCGAATGATAAGCGAGGTCGCCATGCGTTCGGATAGTGCGGCTGACTAGCGAGTTTTTCGGCATTATTACTACTGTACGAATACTTTTTGTGCGCCCACCAGGCACATTCTTGTGACTTTTTATTATTTTTAGAGTCTATTCTGTTTTGTTTTTGGATTCCATCGATAAAAGTGAATCAAGCAGAATCTAATGTACATATATATTTTCTTTCGGATGTCTAACACCAATAAATTAGGCGGGATATGGTATTTTTCGTTATGGAAACCAGGTGTACGAATACTTTTTACACTCACTGTATATTTTAGTTTGTTATTCATTAGGTATTTGAATTTTATATATGTGTCAAAACTAAATTTCTACAACCTGACTTGGTGGGTCATATCTCAGATTCGGCACAATTTTTTTCCCTAGAGAGCGCCTATGGAGGCATGAGGCTGCGTGAAATTTCACGGTCCTAGGTTGAACAGTTGAATCTACAGACTCACTCAAAGTTTGAAGGTTCAGCAAAAATGTGAATTTTAACATATTGACATTATTGATTTTCTTGTTTCTTTTGTCTTCAGAATGCATTAGACCCCATAATACAAGCCCCTTCCCACTTCAGTTGGCCCAACTATTGAAATCTTAGCTTTTTTCTTATCAACACATAAAAATGTAGCAGGATGTTATAGATTTAAAATATTAACAATGAATATTTTGATAATATATACTAAAAAATACCAACTTTATCACTCCCTAATCAAATTTGCAGCGTAAAAATAACACGTGTTGCAATTACAGCATATCAACCTATTTTCATTTCAATGCAAAATAAGTCTATAACGCATAGGTGGCTGTGAAAAATAAAAGCCATGACAATTGTTTTTATTAATCACAGCTGTCAGAATACGTTTAAAATAGTTTTGGGTAGTTAAGGTATTCAAAATAGGTAGAGGAAAGGTTATTCGTGAGAAAATTCCGTTACTGATAATTAAATTTTTTAATTCTGGGGAATCAAACTCAGAAATTGCAACTTTGCTAGACTTACCGCGGTACAGTGCGAGAAATATTGTTAGAAGATATAACGTAGCTGGTTCAGTTAATATTAAGCCACGATATGTGAAAAAAGTAGTATCACAAATGCCGACCGAAGAGCATTAAGAAGAATAATCGGGAGAAACAGGCGTGACAATTATTTACAATTAAGTGCTCTGTGGAGTGACGCTGTTGGAAGGAGAATTTCGAAGTCCACAACTCGTAGAGAGGCCCACACTTGCAGGGTAAGTTTTCTTATAAAAAAAAGTGAAGTAAAAACCCTAAAGTTGCACAACTTGTTTATAGGCGAAAGAAAAGCCACTATTAACTCCACTGCACAAGAAAAGTCGGCTTAGATGGGCTAAAGAACATAGACAATGGACACCTCAACAACGGTGAGCAATACAATGGAGTGATGAGGCCCGATTCGAAGTTTGTGTTGGTGACAGTCGCAGTAGAGTTACTCCCAAAAAAATGAAGCATTCCATGTTGACTGTCTGAAGAGAAAAGTGAAATTTCCAGCATCCATTAAGGTCTGGTGCAGTATGTCATCAAAAGGAGTAGGAAAACTTCATTTTATCGATGGAAATGTGGATACAAACAAATATTTGGCAATTTTAGAAGAATCGCTTTTACCAGTGATGGAAGAATGTTTGACATCCGGCCAATATTTTGTGTTTCAACAAGATGGTGCAGCATGCCAAACCTCAAAAAAGGCTATAAAATGGATGGAAGAAAATAATGTACCACTTTTGAAATGGGTTTCTAGCAGTCCAGATCTGTCACCTATTGAAACTTTGTGGCACGAGATGAAAAGAAATATGGGATTCTTTTACACCAAATTTTTGCCGAAACTTGGTTAACACTAAGTCCCAAAGAATTTCAGCCATAATAAAAAATAAAGGTGATGCTACCCCATGGTAATCTTTCAATTGTTTATTATAGTGTATATAGTTTATATAATAAGTGATTTTTTGGTTTTCTTACTGATATATTAGGCTGATAATATTTGATGCCTTCCAAAATGAAAAATGTTCAAAATTAATTTTTTTCGAAAAAGAGGTGGTCCAGCCTAATGCCCTAAATAAACAAAATTGTGTACTTTTGCTTTTGGATTGGTTGGATAGTCCTTTAGATCCAATTTTCGAGATTTATCGCAAAGATTGGCCATTTTCATAATTCTTGAGGGTGGATCATTGGGCTCAAATTTGTTTTCTGAAAAATTCGATCAGAGTTTCAAAGTTCGAAAAAATTGTTAATTTTAGCCTTTCTGGCAACATTGCAAATTGCTGTAATTGGGAGGTATTTAGGCTTTGCAATGTATAACCACTTCGAAGTGAATTTGCCTGAAGAATTCACAAATGACCTTCAAACTGCAATCTGATAATTCAGTAAAAAGTATTTTTTTTTGAAATTTCTCAATAGTTTTTTTCCTTGATTTTAATTGGCTTCTGCAGCTTTTAAGAAATATTTGCAAAAAACAATAGTTCAGTATACAGTGTGCCCAAGATGCGGAACAGGATTTCAGAATTGGTTAGAGCTACAATGTTGGATAAATTAGGAGAAAGTTGCGTAATGTAAATAACTTTTACATGCAGTCTGAGTTATTTAAAGGAAAATGTAATTTCGAAAATTTGCAAAATTATACTTTTTCCCAATTGACTCAAAATCAGAAAAAGGCAGCAAAATTTTGTACACTGTGGGAAGTTACTTACATTACGCAACTTTTTTCACGTTTAACATTGTGGCTTCAATGGCTGTTGAGATTGTAATGCTCACCTTGATCTATTAGTTTTTTTGTGAATATCCCTTAA